CCAGGGGGGGGTTTGCCCCCCCCCCCCCCCCCCCCCCCCCCCCCCCCCCCCTAGAAAAAAGTACCGGTCACTTTTTTAAAATACACTTTTTCATTTTCTTGAGTTAATATGAGCGGCAGGTAACTGAGTCTGGGTGAATAGCCAACAGTGGTCATTCTGGTCAGGCATTTTATGGCGGAGTAAGTGCACCAGTCAGCTGCTCTTGCATTGTCGATCATATGATAAAGTATTTCGATATTTTGATTATACGTAACGAAAAATAAGGTTATGGCTTTCAGGGCTGTGTTATGCGAAATGGTTCAACAAAATACTAAGTATTCCTATCTGTAGACCTACTTAAGAACTGTTTTTCAATATCTTTCTGTTTATACTTAGCTGAGGATGAAACCAGACATCATAGCTTTTCATAACATTTTTAAATTTAATTACATTAGAATAGACATTTGAGTTCGTTGAAAATCATAAAAAGTCTGCAGTAAAGCGTCCTTGGTAACAAAATTATTGGTCTGATACTGGATTGTAATCTGTCCCGTCTCAAAATTCAAAAGATTTGATTGGTTGATTATAAATACTAATAGACATATATTACCCTAAATTGTATTCATATGAATCAAACAACCAAACGTAGGAAAAATGGATAAATATTTGATCAAAAAAGACAAATTGCTTGATGGTTCTGACACTACTACGACTGACAATGGTATCAAAACCACAGCGGGCAACACAACGGATGCAGTACCAAGATGCTCTGAAAACACAGGAGTACCGGGTGACATTGGAAAAGAAGACGTTCCAAAGCAACCGAGAAAAAATTTCCAGCGAAGTCTGGTCGCCATTTTAGTAACAGCTGGTATGATCGATTTACATGGCTGGAGTATTCAGTGTCAAGGGACGCCCCTTTTTGATTTCCATGTCGGGTTTTTCACAATACATCTGCGGGTGCATAAAAATTCATCACTGAAGGCTACACAGATTGGAAGCATGCTGCAGGTGATACTGGAAAGGGCCTCGAGAAGCATAACAATTGAGGTGTCAAAACAATTTCTCCACGATAACGTTGCCATGACAAAAAATCAGGACTCCAATCTTGTTCTTCAAAAACTATACGAGTAGAAATTGGCTTTCCCTAAATTATATGCACTGGCTGCAAGCGTTGCCACATTCGGTTCTAGTACCACTGTGTGTGAAAGCAGCTTTTCAACTCTTACTCGCGCTGACTCACCACAACGACGATGTATGACTCAGCTTCGCCAGCACAATCTTGTTCTTCTTGCCTTTAACAGGAAGCGTACCCAGAAAATTAACTTGGACGTATTTGTTCAACGTTTTGCCATAAAACATACCCGACTACGTTTAAACTAAACCGGCAATAAAAATGTAACATATTATAACTTGTGTGTTTTAACAAAAATAATCTCGAATCTAAAATACTCCATGAAAGTCCGTTTTTCGACGTTTAATCGTCTGTTAAGGTGCTTTGCTAAATTGCCCCCCTCGATTGCACGTTTGCCCCCCTCTAATCGGCCAGTTAAAACTGTTAAGGTAATGCTCAACACTTATTTAGTCATTGTAAAGTTAATTCAATATCATGTTAGAAAAAAAGGCATCCCTGGAGGTACGGAAAATCTCCATTTAACAGGGCCTTCTTCTTTTGACTTTTGACTCCAGCCGACAACTGTCAAAATATCCATCTGGAATAGTGACAGATGTTTCGGACTAGGGGTTCACAAGCTATGCTTTCACTATGTAAATTGATTAAAATTTTGTAAGTTGGGAGAGAGGGGGGGGGGGGGGCAAAAGCCGGTCCAGCCTCTCTTCTGTTTTAAATTTATTTTAAAACAATGTTTAATATCCCAGAATTCCCTTAATCTTTCATTAAACAGATCATTTCATTGGTTGAAAAGTTTAATATCTTAGAACATGTGTTGCAAAACAATCGTCTTATCATGGACGGTAAGTGATCTTGCTCACAAAATAATAAAAAACTTTACATCTAGATCTTCATTATAATCAGTTTCCTCTAGTTCCATTTTTCATAAAAATCCATGATTTCAATGGTGAAAAAACTTTTCTTTGATTTGAGTAAAACAAGCAAATAAAAAATAAAATCTTCAAAATTTAAAAAATAAAATTGGATCGAGATTCCAACCTGAGTATATAAATATATATATTCACTTTAATTTCAACTTTGATGATTTGCTGCCATAAGCTTGATAATAAAAATTAGAAAATAAAACAAACATGGTGGAATTATAAAATATACTATAAATACAATAAAAACCATTTATATAACCATAAACAGCAATAACAAAACCTATCAAAAACTGAGCAATTTGTATTTGGGTCACTAACTTCTTCCATTTCGGTGGGTTATTTGGGAAGAGGGCAGTTAAACCATAATAAAGATAAAGTACTACATGAACAAATGAATTGATAGCAAAAATTGTGGCAATGGAGGACCACACATAACTATTATAACCAATTTCACTTAATAATAACATACTAGCATGATGGTAAACATGAAGGAATGAAATTTGGCGACGTTTATGTCTTAGCACCATAAATACAGTATCTAATAACTCAATTTGTTTTGTGGCCCAATATAACAGAAAGAATGGTTTTAAAAATGGTATTGGCTTTCTTTCATAGATATCACCTCTAAGATACACAGCATAAGTTAATCCACCACATGCAACTAAACTGGCTAGACAACAACCAAGGTTATAGATAACTAAAATCTGAAAAGGAATTAGTAGGTTGATTAATATCGCTGTGGTCTGATTTTAACATTTAAAGATTTACCTCCCTTTCATTAAGTCTATCAAATTGTGAATGACCGAATATCAGATCTCAAAGGTAGATGTTTTTTTTGTTAAATAAGGTGATGCAATTTTTTAAGCAATATAAAAGTATTTAATATTTCAGTTGATGGAGCTAAATTTTAGCTATCTAAAGTAATTTTCAGAATCAAAATCCTGCATCTAGTTCTCCTGCAATCTACTAGAAGCACAGCCTAGAAATATAGACTGCCATAAGTTACAGCTGTACTTATAAACAATATACTTACAGGTCTAAGGTTTAATGGTGAAGTGTGTTTCTGCCATAATCCAGATAAAGCTATCATTAATAAATAGGCACAGAACATTGGAAAAGATGCTAAACTTGTAACATAATAAACCAGCCAGGTTATCTTCCACATCAATGAAAACATTTTGAGTCCTTATCTCTGAAAATAGAGACATAAACATATAATATATGAAATATATATAAAGATAGGCTTACCAGTACCAAATCAACAAGATATGTAGGTCAAGCCAACATATTCAGGCACATCCAGGTCTAATTCAATACATAAACACAAGCAGTTCACTGAAGACATCATTGACAAATAAATCAACACTCTACAACCAGACATGTCACTCACTCAAAAGTTTCATAGATCAACTAAAATTTGGTGCATTTTTATGTGTATTGGGGACGCTGATAGCATCAATTTGCACCAATTTTCAGACCAATCAGACGTCCGTGACTCGTGCACTTCCACTAAAACAAAGTGTTTGATGACACCATTAATTGTAAAGAGCCCTATGTGATACAAAGCATATTCTTTACAATTAATGACATCATCAAACCTTTGTGTGGAATCACAGATGTAAGAATGAAAATTGATACTATCAGTGTCCCAGTAAAATAAAATATGTTGAATTTAGCATTACTAAATGACAAGATCAAATAAACAAAATAAGACCGAAACACTTTAAAGTTGGGTAAAATTCAATCTATTTCACACCATCTGCATTCTAAAATCAACCTGTTTTCCTCAAGTCAATGTTTCAACTAGAAAAATTATGACCATATGGTGTCACATAACTACAAGATTTATCAACTGATCTTATTTATTATATTTATTAAAGGTATACTACTTTTTAGAATGACAAAAGAATTGAAATTAAATTTAAGTAATAATTCATTAAACTAAGTAATTTGGAAGATGCTTAAAAGCGTGTTTCAATAATTATTTTGTTTAAGCGATATATCGTCTTATATAGAGATGCTATACTTAAGTCATGGTACCACAGTAAGTCCAACTCCAACTGATGAAGATATAGTGGTATTGACCAAGTTTGAGACTAATTTGTCTATTCCAAGAGTCAGTAGCCTTTTAAAATTTATTGATTAAAATTGCTTATTGGTAAAAGTACAAGGACAGAAGGAGTCATTTCTTTTAGGACAGTGACATAAGTCTACCCTTTATCTTTTTCAAACTGTCAAGGGATCTCTTGCACAGTCTGTAGAACACATGGTCCTTGTTTAAATTGTCTATTCTGGTAAAGTAAGGAAAATGGTGGATAAGGAAATTATTCAGAAAGGAAAATGCCAGTTCCAAATTATAATGTACAAACATTGAACACATCCTTCATATCAAAGCGTTTTCGAAGGATAAGCATGCCCTGCTTCACCAGCAGCCCTTGTCAAAGTCAGCAAAATAAGTTTAGTGGAGTTAAATATAAATTAAAACTTGGCGTTAATATCACTTTATCTGAAAAAGTTTATTATGCGGGTAATGATGTAAATCTAGTAAACATGAACTAGAAATGAACTACTGGTATTCACTTAGCCATATCATAAGAGAAGTGATTGAATACATGTATAATGTACTTACAATTTATACAGTAAGCTAAAATAAAATACATCCAATTTCTTAATTCCAGCTAACTCATCTATCTCCCATCCACAATCTTTCTATCAATCCATTGAGCTGACCTCAAAACCCCAACATGGCTATAACAGAAAAATAAACAATAAAAGCTTTTATTTACTCAGGTTCAGGTTATAATCTCATAGACAAGAATGAAATAGCAAAATATGAAAAGAAATCTGAAGTGCAGTGGAGTGTAACAAATAGAAACTTTGACCCTGGTATAAAATATGTGACTACTAGTAGTAGTATGAATAGGTAGAAGTAGCAAAACTGGTAAATTATCACAGACCAACATATGCATATTATGTAAACATGTAGCTTATATATTAATACACCTATTATAGCCTAGAGACTAATAACATTGCATAGTAATAAAACCTAGCACACATAGTTTACACAATTTTAACAAGATACGAGAAACAGATTTTTATTCTATTTAATCAACTAGTTTATCAAGACCACTCAGACACTTTTTTAACACTTCTCTGACCAATAAGGCCTATTAACTAATCTATTCATTGATCAATTTAGCAATAGGATTAGATTACCAATATTTCACCTGACATATTTTATTCCTGTTATTCCAAAAAGAGTTTGCTGGATATTATTGCCAGTCCAGGAGTCACAATCCGGTACCATAACCTGGGTATGTTGACATGATAATTGATATGCTATATACATTAGTCATTGGCATTAGATAATATCTACATGATATAAAGTTAATGTGATAAATGTAAATAAGGCCCTGGTAATGAGTGTCCTTTTTCAGAGGAAAACAACGCTGAATTATCATTTTGACAAGTGTTACGGATGGGTATACAGTTCTATGGCCAAGCCAAAGATGAAGCAATTGGAATTGAGCAGAGTAATAAATTAAATTGAGTCAATAATTAAAGGCCTGGGCGCTGAATGTGCAAATAAAATAGGGCACTGTTGCGAAACAGTTGATAATACAAAAAAAAAACAACCTGTTGACCCAGTTGAGCTGCTGTATTTATTTACAAAACTAAAAAGTAAACCGGAAACGGAAAAAACGCCGGTAAGATGGCGCTTTCACAAAAAATATTCCAGAAAATCGTCTTTTACTCAATAAGTCAATTTTCCTTGCGCAAAATATCAACTTAGGATGTAATACCATGCATTAAAACTCACACAAAAATCTGATTATGCAAAAATTATAAATATGTTGCAAACATATTAGAATATTCTGTATGGAATGATTTTCACATGAATTCATCATTATTACTTAATGCTCCAAATGTTTTTGCCACGTCAGATACGCATGTGCAAGAATATTTATTTTTGTTATGTTCCGGTAGACACGAAAGCAAACTCCAAAAGATGGATTATTTGCGAACTATGATGGGTGCCCCTCAAGGGGGTGTTCAGCCCACGGGTGCTGAAACGGTAATGGCAAGGAAATCCCGTTTTTTCTGCATTCCATTCATGTTTTAATTTGAAAATTTAGTTGACCGCTATCTAGCCAATTCAGCCACAGATGTGCAATGTCATTGCCCGAATGATAACTTCTAATGCAACCCTTCACTCAGGGCACTGTTACTGTTTCAGGCCTTGTTGTACTATTCACTTAGCTTCTATTCTCGCAAATGCAACTTAACCAGTTATTCAATGATGCAGCTAGATTATGATTCAGATGATATGCCAATATAAGAGACCCTCATTTTTCTCAGAATTTGGATTCAAGAAGCCTTGCACTTGCAGTTGCAATTAACTGTCAATCACTATAGCAAAACATTGCAACTGAACATGAAGCAGTGTAATATTTTGAAGCAATTAATGCACACCCACATGGGAGTATTTACTAGTAGTGTTGTGGAGGGTCTCAGGCCCCATGCACTTAAGTTAGTATCAACTCCTGCCATTCTATCTATTCTAAATTGATTTTAAATGGTTATGTGGTAGGCTAATGGAACCTCATGTTGAAATGTTTAAGTGAGCTTATTTCAGAATCATTCCTTGTTATATTTTGTATGATTAAGCCTATGATAATATATGTAGGCTTTTTCACGAACTTTTGATTCATGTTTTTTTTTATTGCAGGTGGAAAGACTAGTTGACAGAGCTCAGTCATCTACTTTATTAGATGATAGAAGAGATGCTGTTCGTGGCCTTAAATCACTTTCAAAGGTATGGGATCAGTCAATTTGATTTTTTCCTAATAAAATGTACTGCTGCAATTAAATTAATTAAAGTTTAGATCTTGATACTTCGTTTCATGAGTTTCTTTGGTATACTCAAATGCAATCTATGTTCTAACGACTTTGTTATGCAACACATGTTCTAACTCAGAAAAAAAGTTATAAATACGACTCTTCTTTCTTGAGACCCATAGAAATCCTAGTTTGAGGTATTTTTGAAGGAATTATGCTATTTTTGTACATTTGTAGTACTACTATGACTCAAGGTGAACCATCCCGTTAAGAGAATAAATAGATGCCCTGATCCATAGCCATATTTATTTAAAGTAACATATTGTATTGTTGACTATTAGATTATTTTATTGTTTTCATTCTTTACAGAAATATCGATTGGAAGTTGGAACACAAGCCATGGATTGTCTGATTAAAGTTTTAGAAGTAGACAGGTAAGACTTGTTTTAAATATTTCTATTCTTGAACTGAAATTACTGTAAAAATAATTATTCACAACCTTTTTTTATTAGTTCTAGTGATAAGCATATTTTTGCCTATGTATCTATTTTTTATATAAGATAATTGATCTAGCTTTAGATACATTATGTAATGAATGTGATGTCCATGTATATGTTCATTAGAGGTGATGCTGAGATAATTGCCAGTCTAGCTTTAGATAATGGGATGTTGATGTATCTATTTTTTTTGGAGATGATGCTGAGATAATTGTTCTAGCTTTAGATACATTATGTAATGTGATGTCTATGTATCTGTTATTTATAGTGGTGATGCTGTGATTGTTGTTCTAGTTTAGATATATATGTAATGAGACGTCTATGTATCTGTTTATTTGTAGAGGTGATGCTGAGATAATTGGTCTAGCTTTAGATACATTATGTAATGTGATGTCTGATGAACCAACAGAAGAGGAAGAGAGTATACCAGAACATTTACAGAATGGAGATCTTGGTGCTAATTTTACTGAAATTTATATTAAAGATCCAGAACATGTTTCTCTCTTACTCTCACTACTTGAGGTAAAGAAATTGAAAGATTTTTCTCTGAAAATTAAATTTTAGCATGTAAATACCCTCAAAGGAACAGTATTTATTACCAATAAAGAAAAAGGGTTTTTTGCTGCTGGTAAGGGCTGAGTAAAATGATCGAAATAATCGATTATCGTTGCTAGTAATTTATAATTTTGATTATAGATTTTCAAACTTCATAATCGATTTTCTTCACTGTACCTGTTAACAATTAGTAATCTCACACAGGTTCCCGTTAGCACATTATTTACTCACAATAAGCTATAATAACCAATCTTAGCAAGAATATACTTTTATAACGCAAAAATAACCCATGAAATTAAGAGTTTTGGCTTGTTTTTAATTCAGTATTTACAGGGTTTCTAAATAAAATTATTTCTACTATTTATCGATTATTGATCGGTAGCCTACCATTGATAATCGTTTTGTAATCAAAACCCAGATCTACTGCTGGTAATCACATTATTAATTGTTATAGAACATTTCATCATAAACACATCTCATATGATGGGGTGCGCCGGTACTTCAAGGTATATTCCTTTTGCTTATCTATTGATAATGTTTTATTCTAGGAGTATGATTTTCATGTAAGATGGCCTACAGTTAAACTATTAACAATATTACTAACTAATAAAGGAAAAGGTATACAAGACTGTATATTAGTTAGTCCTATGGGTGTATCAAAGTTAATGGATTTATTATCAGATAGTCGAGAAATCATCAGAAACGATGTGAGTATTCTTTATTTTCCTTGGTTGCTTTTGTACAATCTATTGTCTTTCTGACATCTTGAAACTATCTACTTTATGTTAACATTATTCCAATTGAAAATTCTGCTGAAACTATGTATCATGGTGGCCATGTTTATTTGTACTAATGACAAGTTGCTTCAAACTTTGAGGATTACACACAGATTTTAATAATGCACGGATAAACTTAAGATTTGTATACAGTGATGTTATAAGTATCTCTGCTCTAAAGCTACAGACAATATTTGTTAATGAAATTCCCTACAAGCAAGACTATACCATTATTCAAAATCTAGAGTAAAAGTAGTATAGTAGTGAAATCCTTCAAACAGATATACCATCAGGTGTTAAGCTCTTTGTGTCTATGGGTTGAATTATTCCTGGATGTGAACAACTGTCTTTTGATTATTTCCAGGCTTTATTACTATTAATACAACTAACTAAAGGTAACGCTAATATACAGAAGATTGTAGCCTTTGAGAATGCGTTTGAAAGATTATTAGATATCATATCAGATGAAGGCAACAGTGATGGGGGTGAGTTGAGATACAGTACTTATCTAGACATTTTATATGTCAACTATAGCTATATATGCTTCGCTGTGCTCAGGAAATATAAATTTCATTAAACTTATGCTAACTTGGAATTCCTGAACAGTTTGAAAGAAAAATAATTGGTAGAATGTCTAAAAATGCCAGCCAGCAGATAACTATCAGTTAATTTACAGAAATGTGACCTTTATTCTGTTTTTAGAAAAGCATTCTGTAGTCAAAATGCTACAGTTCACTTCAATTAACACTATTCACACCTTCCATTGTGAATAGCTTGCTTATGTTATAAAGTTATATTGTTAACTTGACTCCTAGCTTGACTCCTAGCTTGACTTCTAGCTTGACTTCTAGCTTGACTCCTAGCTTGACTCCTAGTTATCAAAATATCTACAGCAAGTAGATTTTGGACATAATTGAAACTTTTTGACCTATGACATGATATTTTTCAGGTATTGTGGTAGAAGATTGTTTATTGTTATTGTTAAATTTATTAAAGAATAATTCATCTAACCAGAATTTCTTTAAAGAAGGCAGCTATATACATAGAATTACACCTTATTTTGACTTGAACTCTGACCCCCAGAGGTCACAGGGTGGTTGGTCAGCTCAGAAAGTTACCAATCTACATCTTATGTTACAAGTGAGTGTGTGTGATAGTTGCATGTCATGGCACGACTTCAAGGAAAACAAAATATATATTTTCTTTTGAAAGGTTAAAGATGGACCAAGTTAGCTTGATTAGCTATGTGAACTCTCTGAAAGACATGTTGACAAAGTAGAAACAAAGCAAAGCAAAACTTCTTTGGAGTAAAGTTTAATGCAAAGTACCAAATTATTTTCGTAACCTATCTTTAAATAAATATCTCCGAATATTATGAAAAGTAAAAGAACAAATTTTTTTAGCTATTGACTTAAAATATATATTTTTTATAATGATAATATTTCTGTTCTCCTTGAAGTTGACAAAAAAATGGATTTGAAGCTAGTAGTTTTAAAACTGTTTCTGTGCCATTATTTACTAACATGCATCATCATAATGTCAGAATAAGGGTGGAAATTGGACTGACTGGTTGTGGTTCTTGTTGATTTTACATTTGGTTTATTTGGTAATGGTATGTAGCCTGATGCATGTAGATTAGGGTGTATAGGTTCAGTACTCAGCTAGAGAATAGAGAATATAGTACTGTTATATTGATTACAGAGTAAATATGAATCCTATATATCTTGGTTTTTTAGATTTGAATAGACAGGTTCGTCACTACGGGAGTTGATTTGGGTCTTGAATATATGTAAATAGTCTTCTTCAGAAGTACTATAAATGTACTAAAATCACATGATTCATTCAAAAATATCTCAAACTAGGAATCAAACTTTCTATTTTCTATATATGGCACAGTCTCAAGAAAAGACAAGATTCCTTTTGAACTTTCAAACGTAGGTAATTGTGGACTTGCATTAATTTGAATACCCAAATTTCGAACACTATTTCTAATAAGCTTAGCTAAAAAATTCTTTTTTCTGAGACTAAGGTACGATGGTCAAAAGGATGGCGAACCTGTCTCTTGAATAATGCAGGATGATTTATCTTTGTCTTCTATTTACTACTTTATTGTTCTGTATTGGAATGGTTGTTTTGGGGGGTGTAAAACTGTGCATTGTACATACATTATATTGATATATATCCTTTTTTTTTGCTTGCTTTCTCTACAGCTGTTGTCACCTCTGCATGTTAAAGATCTATAGATGGAACGTACCATTTCTTTCTATCATTGTATGCCTTCTCTCTTCAGCTCAACTTGATTTCATTTCAATTTTGCTCATATCATACATTAATCTCACATGCTTGATTTTAGAATATGAAAGGAATTGTAAAGATATTTTCTAAACTTTTTCTGTGTATCGGAGACACTGAGAGCATCAATTTGCACCATTCCAATTTTCAATAAGATGTCTGTGGTACCTGCAATTCCACTTAAAGTGTTTGAGGAAGTCACTTATTGTGAAAGCCCTATACAAGCATTTTTCACAGTTAGTTTCAGTGGAATTGCAGGAACCACAGGTGAAATGGTGCAAATTGATTTATGCTATCAGTTTCCCCAATACACATACAAAATTTAGATAACCTCTTTACAATCCCTTTAAGTAGAAATTCTGTAATATGATAATAATAGAGTTTACTGTTCAATTTAGAAAATTACTCAAAGAGTTCAACTGATCAAATAGACCCAATCTTTTAGTTTTAGTTTTACCACAAGTTAATTGCAATGCAAAAATATAAAATATTAGCTGAATATAATCACTAAATGAATTGTCTAAAACTGGCAAAATAGAATGGTTTCTTTTCATAATACCTGGTTTGGTAGTTTTTGATGTTATATATTTAGATAAATTTTTCATTTCTAAGACTTCATTAAAAGTACCTGTAGATAGTTGTCACTTTTCAAAATGAAATTCAAGTTCTGGTTTGTCTTTAACAAGAGCTATATAGAGAACTAAAATGAAGCAGACATTTAAGTTTATAAACTATATTTCATGGTCATTTTCATTTTCTTTTATCACTTTATGATATATATTTTTTCACTTTTTACATCTTATCCATCATAGCATGGTGTTGATTTATTTTCAAATTAGCATGGTGTCTTTTTGAATGATCATTTCCCTTATACCTTGATTTTCATTCTTCTGGTTAATTTTCCACTAATATTCTGGCTCACATACTGCTAATATCATAGAATGCTTGGTAATATCTAGAGTTACCATGGTAACAAATTGTATAAAATTATAGTTGGTATTTGTCCTAACATTTTATACAGTTTGATTAACTAACCACCAACATAATCACTGCTTTATAGTCACTCACTCATACCTTAGTAACATATTAACTCATAATCACTGGTTATATTAACTAGCTCATCTCTATCCACCATATAAACTCATAACCAATGTTTATATAATCATGAACTCATCACTTACATTCATAATCACTGCTTTATATTATCACTAGCTCAATCCTTGGTAACTTATTAACTCATAATCACTGTTTATATTAACTAGCTCATCTCTATCCACCATATAAACTCATAACCAATGTTTATATAATCATGAACTCATCTCTAGCCACCATATAAACTCATAATCACTAACTCATTACTTAAACTCATAATCAATTCTTTATATAATCACTCACTCATTACTAACTGTCATATAAACTCATAATCGCTACTTTATATAGTTACTAACTCATGGATTGCTATCATTAATACTCATAATAGCTGTTTATATAATCACTAACACATCACATAAACTCAAAATCGCTATCATGTAAATTCATAATCATTTCATCATGAATTGTTCTTCCCAAACACCTACTTTTTGCCTTTTTTCATAGTGGCTCAACAATTAAGTTGCTTGTTTTGTAACCCAAATGTCTTGCCCTGGGGTTTGATCCAAGCAATGTGCCTTATGTACCTTAGTACCTTATGCCCTTAGGTCCCTTCTCAGTCCAAAATAGGTAAATTTGGACAGTACATGTCAATCTCATACTACTAGTAAAGGTTGTCATGAAAAATCTTGTCCAAGCTTCTTTTTTCTGTTTTTCTATTTCTTCTATTTCTTTCTCTGTCTTCTGTTTCTGACATAATAAATTTGTCTTTGAACTAACATGCATTAGGTCACATATCACCAGAGTTTTGTGATGTGAACACCACTGCCACTATATATTTATTGTATTCAAAATTTGTTTTTATTCTTTTAGCTGGTAAGAACTATGGTATCACCAAACAATGCTCAGCAACAAACAGCCTCTTGTCAGAGAGCTTTAAATCAATGTGGTTTACTACAGAAACTATGTTCTATATTAATGGCTAGTGGTGTACCAGCAGATGTTTTAACTGAGGTAAATGCTTTGCTTTGTGAAGAAATTGGCTAAAACTTACCCTTGTGATCTTGGTCTAAGAATAGCTTTGTTAGACTTAGACTTTTTCAATGAGTAGCCTATGGTAAAGAGTTTTGGTAATAAGTTTTTTGATGCTGATGTGTTTTGGATATGGAAAACTTCATCAGGAAAGCTAATCAGAAGTGAACTCAAGAGGTCAAAGAGCATTGAATGAATTATTGGCACAATAGCCTTCTTTCCTAAAGCATCAACTTTTTCCCCTTCATAATCTAAAGTTGTGTGTATTGTTGATAAAATTGATGTAAAGGTGGAATTGTTAATAATATTAAGGTGGAATTGTTGATGATATTAAGGTGGAATTGTTTATATCTGACAGCTAGATTACAATTTGTTGTTGGTAATTTCAGACTATAAATACTGTATCAGAAGCTATCCGAGGTAATCCACCAAATCAAGAATATTTTGCATCTGTTTTAGCTCCATCCAATCCTCCAAGGTAAAATTAGAACACATACTTTGATTTAAAACTATTTTTAAAGAGACCCCTTGAAATTAACACCATTCACATCAATGAAGTCAATATAAATAGTTCAGTCCACTTGAAATTATTTAATCTTGGACAGTATGACATGATTGGCTGAGACACTATTTCAATAAATATTTAGCCTTTAGAAATAACTGTTTGATCCAAAGTGTGATTTCTTAAATTTTGACTAGGTCTCAACAATTCTTGAAGTTGGTATGCACTAAATGATGATAATTATGATATATTTATTAGATAAGGAAAGAGAAAAAAGTAGAAATTATTGATATAACTATTTTGTCACTTTTTAGAACATGAGAAAAATTTAGAAGTAAAGAACCGTGAAAGAATATTTCAAATCTTTGAAAAATTACTGATAATTTATCCAAAATGGAATCTTAACATATATTTGTTGTTAAGCATTATAATTAACAGTATAATATTACTATTGTTATTATTTCAGACCAGCCATTGTTGTTTTATTAATGTCTATGGTGAATGAAAAACAACCATTTGTTTTACGTTGTGCTGTATTATATTGTTTTCAATCATTTCTGTATAAAAATGAAGTAGGTCAGTCTCAGATAGTACAGACTTTATTACCTACCACTGCTGATGGTAAGACATTCTCCTTCTTGTGTTTACTCATTGAAAAATACCTAATTATACCATATACATTATCAAGATATATCGTCAATTTTTTTCCAGATAAGATCATTTGCACGATTATAACTAAAGTAACTTAAAATGTGATAAATTTTTTTGTTTATATATGCTATTTAAAAAAAAAAACCATTTATTTTGAGATTTAACTACTAAATTATTCTAGGACGTAAAACTCAATTAATTTCATTTTAGTTTTTATTTCACTAAATTATTTTGAGTACATTAATTTTGGGCATACACACTCAAAAATAAAATACTTTCAAAAAAACTGAAACGCTTGCTAAAATGGCCTTGCCCATTTTTTTTTATCATACTAATCGGTGATAATATTATGTGTATTTCTATTTGTAGTTAATACTATAACAGCAGGTCAGTTACTATGTGGTGGTTTATTTAGCAGTGATTCGCTATCAAATTGGTTTGCAGCTGTAGCCATGTTACATGCTATTTTAGAAAATACTACACAGAAGGAACAGTTATTACGTGTACAGTTAGCTACTAGTTTAGGAAATCCCCCTGTATCATTATTACAACAATGTTGTAATATCTTAGCACAGGTTTGTTTATTTATAGATTGATTATAGATTTACATAGGTAACTGTCACTGGAAAAAATGGAAATTTCTAGTTTTACATTTACTGCAAATTGTTATTGCAAGATTTTTTGAGAAAAATGGGCCCATAGAGGCACCTTACAATTGATTATTTTCACATTGTTTTTTTCTGAACCGATGAAAATTCAGATCTAATAGATGTATATATTTGCAGCAGCTCACACTTATTTGGGACTGACTTCTATTTTCTTTCGTATTTTGCTTAAAGTCAAACTTTGATAGCTTACATTTTACTGGTTGCTACCTATAGATATATTGATGCAGTTCCTCTACTCTTCTCTGTTCCAGTGTAAATTATTTAGCTGATATATTCATTGTTTTTCTATTATTCAGGGTGGTAAATTACAGACACGTATTGGTTTATTAATGTTAATGTGTGGTTGGTTAGTAGATTGTCCTATAGCTGTTACTCATTTCTTATCTAATACTGCTAATGTGCCTTTTGTATCCTTTACATTATAAGATCAAAATAAGTTATTGAGTAAGTTGACTTATCAAATTGACTGTTGAGCTGACACTGTCAAAGGATGTCATCAGGATTATTTCCTGATAACAGTATTTTATTATAGGTTTGACTTGATATCTTCATGACAGTTTAGCTTGATTCAAATATAATTCATGTTTTTGATCAGTGGAAAGTTATTCAAACCTATCCTGTCTATAATAACTGAAATCTTGTGTAATGTCTTAATTTATGTATGATTTATTTTGGCATCTTAAAAGCAAACAAAGCTACTTTCTACACTAAATCAATGGTTTCCCAACCTTTCTGAGCCTTCAACCCCCCGGAGCACCCCTAAAAATTTGTTTCATCCACATTTCCATCATGTAATGTTAGGTACTTTCTCGATTCAAAACAAATTCTTCTCCTACACTAGTTGACCACACCACTGACACCCTAGTCCCACACCCCAGGTTGGGAACCAGGGCACTAAATGTAATGAACTCTGTGATCTAATGATCTGTTCTCACAATTTCTTCAGGAGTAAAACACTATCTCACTTACTTGATTGTTGGGCTTCAGTATCATAATATGTAGTGATTATACCTTTGTATATTTGCTTGTTGAACCCTTATCAGACATGGGCTGACAGAAATTGTCTTTGGTAGTTCAATGATTGTTCTTAAAAATTAAACATGTATAGGTTAATGCTGCTATCTTTGAAATGTAACGAGGCATTTATAGTCTTTGTTAGATTAATAATTGAACGAACCATGTTTCATTTTCATCTTGCTATGCGTATAAAATGGACTGTGTTCCTTAACAGTAAACTAGTTAATATCTCAAGTTATAGCTACAGAAAGTGAAGAACAAGAATTAATAGTACAAGGTTTATGTACATTTTTAATAGGAATATGTTTATTATATAATGATGATCAGTCAGAAACATTCACCAAGTAAGTACTGAAACAGCCATGTCTTTCTCAAAATATACTTGTGTTTTGTTTATAGATGTTTGTGGAATATAAAAAATATCCTTCTTTCTTTATTGTTTAAGGTTACGGTAAATCTAACAGCCTAGTGAATGACCAATCAGATGACTGCAACACAAAATTCATCTAAATTAATTGTAAAATTTATACATTATTCGAACACTAAAAAGTTCAGAACTGTTAGTGACTCATTTAATTTGTTTTTACCCCCCAGAAAAACAGCTATATTGAATCTCATTTCCTTAATTGATTGTGATTTTATTCTAGGGTATCATTAAAACAAGTGATAGAAGATAGAATTGGTTTAGAAAGATTTACTGATAAATTATCTCAGATACTAAAAAATGAAAGTTATACACGAGCAGCCAAAAAACCTAATTTACATTATAAACAATCTAGTGAAGTTATATTTGATTATGCATTTACAAGAATATTTAAATCTTTAGAAAGTAAGTAACTTTTATTGTGTGTTTTTTTATGGGATATTTTTTTTAGCTATGAGTATCCTTTTATAGCTTCCAATTGCACCTTTTAATTTCCTGTTCAGCATAAAAAAACTGGAACAATTTATCTGGTTTAAGTCTGGTTTTTTTAAATGGTTATTTTTTGTATGGTTGTTTATTTTAATGGTTGTTTTTTTAATTGGTTGTTTTTTTTATAAAGTTATTTTTTTAAATGGTTGTTTTTTTGAATGGTTGTTTTTTTAAATGATTGTTTCTTTAATGGTTATTTTTTTTTCAATGGATGTTTTTTAAAATGATTGTTTTTTTTAAATGGTTGTTTTTTAAAATGGTTGTTTTTTTAAATGGTTGTTTTTTGTAAATGTTTGTTTTTTTTAATGGTTCTTTTTTTAATGGTTTTTTTTTAAATGGTTGTTTTTTTAATGGTTGTTTTTTTTAATGATTGTTTTTTTTTAAATGGTTGTTTTTTAAAATGGTTCTTTTTTTAAATGGTTGTTTTTTGTACATGGTTGTTTTTTTTTTAAATGGTTGTTTTTTTAATGGTTGTTTTTTTTAATGGTTGCTTTTTTAAATGGTTGTTTTTTAAATGGTTGTTTTTTTAATGGTTGTTTTGTAAATGTTGGGTCACATTATAATCTGTAAAAGATTACTTTTCCGTTTAAATTGAAATGTAGAACAGTTTGAAAATTATACTTCTGTTATCAAATGTTATACATTTAGATTTATAACACGGTGTTATTTCTGTTATTCTAGATGAAGTATTAAAGTGTATATCTATAGATGAAAAATCACCAGAATATAAAAAGAAACTTGCCAGTTTAAAAGAACATGAGAATATTGTAGATCAATATAAAGAATTGATTAAAGAACAGGTACAATTGTCTTTTCTGTCTTTAGGCTTACTTTGGACCTGAGCTGAAGCAATTTACCTAGTGTGACTGCCCTGGCTTGCCTTCAAGCTTTATTTTACAGGAGTTTACTGAAAGAATCTATATTATATATGCAGTAAGCTCGTGTGTAGTTGAAGAACAAATGGGTAATTGTACTTGAAGAAGTTTGAATTATTCTTTAGGTCCAAAAGGTTCTTACTCAGACTCAAACGGTCAGAGTCTGACTGATTATAAACACAACTTGCTTTCATATGTAAAAAGTACTAGTGAAGTATCCCCTGGAGTACCAGCAATCTCATCAGTTATACAGGAGCAGCCTTGAGAAAAATTATCCAATTAATAGTGTAAATATCATCAGGTGATCACATTATTATGACAAAATCATTGTACCTCATTTTTCTATTATTGAAATTTTAGCTACAACACCTTATATGTATTCTCTTCAGGATGCCAAACTGAGTGAAGCTAGAGCAGAAGTAACAACATTACATGCTAGACATACAGAATCAGCTAGACAAATAGAAGAATTACAAAATACTGTACAACAATTGAAAGACCAAAATGCATTATTAAAAGTCCAAAAAGGTAAAATTGATTTCAAGATTCATTAGAATATTTAGTTTTTTTCCTGTAAGTTTTCTATGTAAAAATTGTTTCTGCTCCTGAATGTGACAGGTATTGATTGTATAATTGTGTACATCGTTGTTCAAACTATGACCCTATATCATTTAGTAGGTGGTACCATCGTTCACTTTATCCAAATAGTACTTGGAAATGGATAGATATCATGAATGTTTATGCTACTGTCACTTTTGAATTCTTATTTAGAAAAGAAATCTGACTAAATCATTTGATTTAGTAAACCATTGTCAAATTTGGTGGTGTGGAAAGTGTCTGCCATGCTGCTGTACATTTCATAACATGTATGTACATGTATGTACAAGCTTTCATAATATGTACATGTATGTACAAGCTTTCATAATATGTACATGTATGTACAAGCTTTCATAATATGTACATGTATGTACAAGCTCTCATAATATGTACATGTATGTACAAGCTCTCATAATACGTACATGTATGTACAAGCTCTCATAATACGTACATGTATGTTCAAGCTCTCATAATACGTACATGTATGTTCAAGCTCTCATAATATGTACATGTATGTACAAGCTCTCATAATACGTACATGTATGTACAAGCTCTCATAATACGTACATGTATGTTCAAGCTCTCATAATACGTACATGTATGTTCAAGCTCTCATAATATGTACATGTATGTACAAGCTCTTATCATGGACCGTAACAAGTGTTTTTAATATGTGGTGTAATGTAGTGTAAGTATGTTTTTATTTGTTCAGGTGCCCGTGGTTCTCCTTCCCTTGATTCAACAGACGATACTTCAGCAAAAGAAATAGAGTTATTAAAAACAGAATTAACAGAGAAAAATAAACAAATAGAAAAATTGGTAAGTAATTTTGCTTATCAAATGACAATAGTAAGTTTATCAAATGATAGTTTTAGTCAATAGAAATGACATTTGAAATTTAATCGATATGACAGTTAAAATTGAATTGAAATGACAGTTGAAATATCTCTTTTCTGAGCATAACTAAGTGTAGTGGACATTACGCATGTCTTACAGTCCAACTATAAGGTAAATAATCTTTAAAGGAATTAAGAAAAATTAACATGCTTTACCAGCTAAAAGAGCTGTGAAAATTTAGACTGTGTAAGTCTTTTGAAGGAAATGGAAAGTCAGATTTTGGTGATGAAAAGTTAGCTATAGTTGATTTCTATCACCTGTTGAAACTAACTTTGAGATGAATATGCCTTTGAATTGAAAAAACTACCTATATGATAAGTGAAATTTGTTATATTCTTTATATTTTTCTTTTTTTTTTATCAGAAGAATGACCTGACCTCAGCAGAAGTGAAAATATTGTCTCAAGAAAATGGAGATGAAGATAAAGAAAATAATCCTAATGAAGCAGCAGTTGTACAAGCAACATTACAGAAAATTAATTCAGATCTCGAAAAATCTCTGTCTGATAGAGATAATGAAATAGGTAGACTACAAGATTTATTAGATACTAGTAACAGAGAAGTACAACAATTGGTAAGTTAGATAGATTTTAATTCAGATCTCGTAAAAAATCTCTATCTGATCGATATATAGGGTTGGTCAACTTTTGAGTTTCCTTCATTGCACACTGAATGGTAGTCCCCCTCTTTGTTTAAGTGCAATGTAGATTTTTATTGCAATTAATGTAACGTTGAGTTCAAAACTATCCTATTTCTGTCTGTCAAGATGGTTGGGTAATCTTTCGAACTACAATATTTCAGAAAAACAGTCCTCAAGCTAATGACAGTGGAGCCCAACATGATAATTCAGACCAAATTAAACGGCTTAAAGATGAATTAGAAAAATTAAAAGAAGAGAAAACAGCTTTCAAGATAGAGTAACCAAGTCTAATGAAGAAAATCTAAATGCTTTAGATAAAGTGCGGGTAAGCTTGAAATTTTGGTTGTAATATATCATTAGAGACATTAACTACATATCATTTGATTGAGTCTCTACTATAATTTGATTGGATTTCAACTATCATTTGATTGCATTTCAGCTGTCATTTGTTTCAAGTATCATTTGATTAAAATTCAACTCTCATTTAATTGATTTTCACCTTTTATTAGATTAATTTTCAACTGTCATCTTGATTGACTAAAATTATCATTTGATTGACTTACTACTGTCATTTGATTGAATATCAACTGTCATTTGATTGCATATTAACTGTCATTTGATTGTATATTAACTGTCATTTGATTGCATATCAACTGTCATTTGAATGAATTTCAACTTTCATTTGATTGCATATCAATTGTCATTTGATTGCATATCAACTGTCATTTGATTACATTTGAACTGTCATTTGTTTGAATTTCAATTGTCATTTGATTGCATTTGAACTGTCATTTGATTGCATTTGAAATGTCATTTGATTACATTTGAACTGTCATTTTATTACATTTGAACTGTCATTTGATTGAATTTGAACTGTCATTTGATTAAATTTGGACTGTCATTTGATTAAATTTGACCTATCATTTTGCCATATTCATAAATACTTATCCTACCTCAAAATAAAGTGAATTGTTTGTGTATTTGGTTTCATATCTGAATACATATCATTGTTTATGCCTTCAAGAATTCTATAGATAATTCATGTGGTCACTGGGCGTCATTAGCTCTTATAATTGATAAGAAGCATTTTGATAATGAGATTAACCTGTTTTCTTTTTTTTCTAGAAAGTTGAAAGTGAGAAAGAGGCTATGATGAAAGAAAAAGCAGAAATAACAGAAAAATTAGATAATCTAATGAAAGAACAAGATGATTTATTACTTTTATTAGCTGATCAAGATAGGAAAATAGATGAATATAAACAAATGTTGAAAGATCTTGGTCAAGATGTAAGTTGACGTTTATTAAGGTGTTTTTTTTTTTCTTGTTAGTGAATTTAGTCTCAATAATTAGATCTGTTATATTTTGTCTAGAACACAGACCTACAGATCAAAGTGCACTTTGATTGAATTTGTTTGATACATTGATACAGTATGGAAAGTGAGTGGAAGGTCACTGATCTCAAGACAATCTTTTGGCTTTGTTTAGATATCTCAGGTTTGATCTTAGCATAGGTCAAGATAATAGCATTGGATTTGGGATCATGACAGCTGAAAATTGATAAAGAAGAGGCTATTTCTTATGTCCTGCTAAAATTTCCCTTGTTGAACACTACATGGTGTTGATGTCCCTTTTTGAAGTCCTCAACTGCTGTCTGGTTTGTCAATATGCATTCTCTTCAAATGGGCAGATTCACATACCACACAGAAAATTGCTTTCCAATTCTTAACCTAAATAATCAAACTCGATGATTTTTTTTCTTAGGTTGGTGATGATGATGATGATGATGATGATGATGATGATGATGAAGAAGATTGAAGATTATATTATAATGGTTATATTGTGTGAAGTGTGGGGGAATGTGAAAGGATCCAATTGACTATGCAAAATGTTTGTATAGAAGCATAGTACCAGATCTCTATTTTTATTTTAAACCGAGGGAAGGCTGAAATTACAGATATAAGATGAATTCAGTCTCTAGTCAGTTGACAAAGAAAATATTGAATTTAAGCATTATTAAGAGTTGAATGGCATACATATTTGGGATGCTGAGTTGAACAAATGCAGGATGACATCAGGTGTTCCAATGGATATATATGCTCTGTATTTTTAACTACTACTGACATAGAAATTATTCTATTGAAAGTCAAATTTAATGGATTTTTCTTATGTTGATATTAAAAACTTCTCTCTTTTGATTGAAGCATTACCTTGCAAGCAAACTTGTCCACCAGCAGATTCATCCCCTTATTAGTGTGTAATATTAGTGTGTATCAAACATTAGCTATATATAGATTTACCCTAGTAGAAACTGGTGAATAGTATTGCTTGGCCATTAAAGCTTAATTATTTGCAATTGAAACCATCATTTGATTGTTCAACTGTCATTTGATTAAATTTCAACTCTGTCACTTGATTAAATTTCAACTCTGTCATTTGATTGAATTTCAACTCTGTCATTTGATTGAATTTCAACTGTCATTTGATTGAATTTCAACCCTGTCATTTGATTACATTTCAACTATAGTTTGATTAAATTTCAACAATCCTTTGATTGACTTAAAACTTGAAACTTGTTTGGCTTGTTACAAAGATAACAGGATTTCAAAATACATTGTAAGCAAACAAACCAAGGATTGTGTTGAAAATGTAGCACTTTTACCTTATGATCCCTTTCATCTGCTCTCTACCATTCAGGCGCAGTGACCTTCAAAGCTGAGAGTTCAGTGCATCTCATTTTTTAAAGGGTTAAACAAAATTGGTGTTATCCTTTATAAAGGATTAATGAATTTAATCGAAAAATAGTTTAAAACCACAAAAGAATATAATATATTGTTTGTAGAAAGATGTGTTTGTTTCCAGTATATGAAATGACAATTTGTTAATGAATTATTTGTATTTGTTGATGGTTGTTAATGGTTTGTTGCTGTGTAGAATTTGTATTTATACTTCTATTTATTTTCAACTTTAAATTGTTATCTCATGCACATTTTCATAATATCATGTGATCTTACTATATTCATGTAAAGATATTTGTGCACATCAAAGGACTTTTCAAACATACATGTATATGAGCAGTCCCATTTATTTTAAATTAAATTTCAGTTATGACACACCATTTGTTGCTTTGTGTTTGTTGGTAAAAAATGGCGACTGATTTGAAGAGGATTGGTCAATATTCAACTGTCAATCATTCTTACGGATCTATAATAATAATAATAATAATAATAATATCTTTATTGGGACATAAATTAGGCCAGGTCTGTTTACAATTTAGCCCTGTGAATCTGTGATGAATCTGTGAATTGAAACCAACCAGATTTAAGGTACTACTTCAACCAACGTACCTAATAATATGATTTGTTCCTGTTTTGAATTGTACCTGACAGGGATTTTTGCATAACTTTAGTTGATATGTTATTGAGCACAATACATACTTCAATATAACATGTAGTTAAATTGTAATTTCAAAGTTATCTCACTTTATTGCAGAATTTAGTCTGAAAAATGTTTTTGTGCAAATATACTTTAAAAAAGTGGATTATTATTATTATATACTTGCATAAGTGTTATAGAAGGAACAAATTACCAGAATTTAGAGTAAAATGACATTTAGCCTATTTGTAATACTTTCCTGTGTCTTCACTATGAAGAATGCCAGTAACTACATTGTGTGTGAGAGTTATAACTTGTAATGTAAATAGATCATTAATTTTATTATCTTGTACATAGACCAGATTAAACTTATCCAAAATAATTATTGGTGTTTAGTTTTTTTTGCAGATGTTTTCTAGATGTCAACAGTGTTAATGAGGAAGGGTATAATCAGGAGGGAAATTTGGCCAAGCATAAGTTTCATTCATTTATACTCTCGAAGAAAAATTTTAAATCTCAATCTTCTTCCAAACTAAACTTGGGTCCAATGCTATGCATTATTTTCTTTAACATGAACTTTGAAATTACAAGAATATACTAGAGGATACTGAACATTTCTATACCACATGCAGTTTCAGGAAGTTTGAGAGAACGACATGTTCCTCGCAGTTGATATACAAATGTGATATCAGGATTAGGGCCAACTCAATAGGTCACATTTTATGAGAGTTTCTATGATCTACTTTGAGATAATAGTATTTGGCTATGATAAGGGTTCCAAATAAAAACTAGACACAATCATTTAGTAATTGAATATCACAGACAAATGTTTATTACAACATAGAACAGTATATTATAGTTCTATGATTACAAGTACATCTTTTATATAACAAATAAGTTTTATAGTTCATATTCAATACACACAATGTTAGTAATATCTGGTAGTAAGAGTAGATTTATATTGTAATCTTATATAGTTAATTCATCTTTACAATATCACACTATTTCAAACTACAATAACAACCCTTCAATCTTATACCTTGACTGCAAGCTGCAAGTATCACGCACGGAATACAGCAATTTGATTGGATTGTATGCCAGCGAAAACAGCTAATCAGAGGTCTTTACAGAAAATCTGTAAACACATAGGGGCAGTTATTTTCTAGCATACAATCCAATCAAATTGCTGTATTTACAAACTTCTGTGATATAAGAAAGGCGGTTATTGCAGTCAAGGTATGAGAAGTTCATAATAACTCAACATTGTTAAGATGCAGAAGCAATCTATCTTGGAGAAAGTTAGATAAGTGTATCTTGCCGTGACAAGTACCAAAATTCCATCCTGGTAAATCCACCCTACATAAAAGGCTACCGGTTATAGTAAACCAGGTTGAAATCAAAATGAGATATTATATAAGATAAAGATACATAATGCTGACATTGGTATTATAAATACTGATATTTAGTACTTGTGTTGAAAAATATTGGAATGTATCCAATCCTAGGTATTATACAAATATATGTTCAACCTTTCTCCAACAAAACACATTGGTAGAAGAGCTAGGATATATGCGACCACAGCAATATAATAATGGAATGGTTAGACAGCTTTATTTTAACTATTTTGACTTTCGATACTATCTAGCTATCAACAAAACGGTTTCAGACAATTTTTTACATTTCGTGTTTCATACACATTCAGAAAGAGTATATATCCTAACCGCCAGTAAAGCGGCTGTTACCAAGTGACGTCACATAAAGTTAACATCATATGCTTTAAGTTACGTTACTTAGAGTTCATATAGGGAATATGATGTTTTATTTCATATACACTCAAATGTGCAAAGGTTCAATTTTCCAGCCAACCTTTGTCCTGATATACGACCATAACCACCATAGGGTAACAGTTTATTGGTTAACTAACTGCCATATGTTGCATTTGTATGTTTCATATAAATTACAAAAATAAAATTTACAAAAAGTTTACAAGCCTTGGTATAGTGTAAAATCAATAAAAAAAGTGGATGAATAAAAACAAAATGGATGAATAAAACATGATTTAGTTTAAAAATCTTCTCTCCTGTTCTTACATTACTGTCATAGATCTATAGTTCTGTACATTCATTGTTCTGAAATATTGGAAGATCATTAAATAATGACTTAGATCTCTTTTGGGGTTGCTATACATGATAGTATGAAATGAAGTTATGCATTTTACTATGACACACTAGTGTACAAAGTGGACTTATTCAATTGCCAACTCTCTCACTTTATAACCTTCAGCTCTTAGGGCCTCGTTTTTTTTTTGTAAGATCCAAATTCAATTTTCATGTCAGACTCTCCGACATGCATCACTGACAATGGGAAGGTTTGTGTCCGAAACCTGCACTTCAAAAAATAACAGACAATTTTGAACACAAGTTTCTTCTTCCTGGCTCAATTTCAATCACCTTTACTTTTCATTTTCATGTCCCTAATATAAACTAAACTCTTACCTTAAAACATTTTGATTTACAATAGAATTACAAGGAGTAGTCTTTGGACCTTGTGATGGTGAGAATATTTTACCACTTTTATTAACTACATGTACCGGTCTAACATATTTAACATTATAAGGATCAGTAGAATGTGTTGGGTAGGGATCAAATGTTCCAATTTTCGCTCCAGCAGGCTGTAAAACAAACATCATCAGATAAACATTGAAAAAATAGAGGCTAGCCAATTAAAACTTGATATTGACAACTCAAAGCCAGTCATTGATTAATCAGGATTGACTGAGAATTTTTGTAACTCCAATGAAGAGGAAATTAAAACTGCTAATTTGTGTACAAGATGCTGGTAAAAGCCAGCATGTCTCAGACTACTATTATTTGTGAAAATACAACATCAAATATGCATGCAAGAAATATTATTCAAAGTGTTGTAGGTCTACCAGTAATTAAGGGTAGTAACTGCTGTAAAATTCAACAAGTTTATCCAGACCATTAAAAGTCTTGAAAATTGATGACAATACACCCAAGTGACATGAATTATGTTATAATCACATACACCATACTTTCTGAGCTATCAGAGTTTAAGACTTGTGTTCCAATACTCAGTGCTCAAAATATCAAAAATTTACAACAAACTCACCTTCTTGCCAGGAGAGCTTGGTTTAAATGGTTTCAAATCTGATTTTCCAGATGGAGTTTTTTGTAAAGGTGGTAGGTTTTTATCTGTTTTATAAGGATTGTTATCAAAATAAGCTTGTGGATGAAGGTTTAACTTGAAGGAACCACCTTTAACTGATTTACGATGTAATTCCACTTCTTTCTATAAACAAAAACAAAATAGGGCATACAGTTTGTGTAATATAAACACCAAATTGCCAATGTAAATTATACGAGATCTCTGAAACGCAGTTGATTTGACTAGGCCAGCCACAGAGTGGAATTAGGTGTTCTGGGTAGGATACTTCCACACATTTAACAGTATTTGCAGCGATTTTACTACAAAGTCTTAAACTAATATGTATATCATATTACTTGATCATGTTTTAATGAGATTATCTTTTAATCTAATAAGTAGGTCTACATATTTGTGGATTACTGTAATCATATTTAATCTACTTAGTTTATAGTCTTAGAAACCATATTGCTTAATGGTCAACAATAAAAAATAAAACACGTTGAAATTTTCATAATAATTAGTAACAAATTCACAAAGATATTAGATGGCGAAAACATTTAGCATGCCCAAAATAATTAACATGCATGGAGACAGGTGATTTAAAATACAGAACCCAATAGAATATCATATCCCATTTAAGTGACATTTTGCAATAATTTACATTTCTTTTTTGGAATAATCGATATCATAGTTAGTCTTAGAGCAGCTTTTTTTGGAATATCAGACTATTTAATGTAATAAGCAAATGAAATTCTTACTACAAGAATTGCTACCTCTTTTTTCATAATTCTTGTTATGGTGAATCTAGTAAGTATCATTAAAATTTGTATAATTTCTACTACTACTACTGCTACTGATCTATGCTACTAATTTTGACAATTGCAAACCTTTATGAGTTCTCTAGCCCTGTCATAATGCTCACTTTTATATGGTGGATAGGCACTGAGTGTCACTCCAGCATAACTAGAAATAAACAGTTAACATGTTAATAACAACAAAAAAATAAAAAAAAAAAAATTAACAAAAAAAAAAAAAATAAACAAACAAACAAAATAAACAACATTAAAGACAAGATTATTTCACACAATGAAAGTTAGTGCTGAGAAACTGAAATAAATGTTGAACACAATTTTGAATATTTTCAAATTTACAGAAAAATGTCTGAAAAATGTCTTCTTTGAAGCCTTTCAAGAAAGAACCATTGAAAGGTTTGTTTTTTTCTAAATATTTCCAACACAAATAATAAAGTGTGTGCATTGAGTTAAGATGATGCATTAGATCTCATCTTTAAATCAATTATAAACATTTAATTGTGTATGGCAATGATGGTTGGAAAATCTTAGATGCTTCAAATCGTGGCAGGTGAAAAGTTAAACTTTATCTGAATTTGACTCAAACAAAAGTTTAAGTATAGCACTCAAAATAACACCAATAAACAAACAATAATTTTAGTGAAAATTAATTTAAGAATATCAATTTTTTAGTGATCATCAACAAAAAAATCAACACGATATCAACAAATTAGTAGAACATTGAACATTAGTTGTAAATGAAAACACACCCTAGCTATCTCTCTATCACTATTATAGGGATCTGTCATATTATTAGGGTATTTCCCTAATGTTACTCCTACATATCTGTAAAGCATAAATGATTTCAAGTCAGCAAATCATATTAAAGAAGATAAAAATTGAACTATTTCCAAACTGCTTTCTCTGAATGAGGGCTTAACCTATTATATACATGTTATCAAAATAGGTTGAGCTCTTGTCAATTTAAATTCAATTTGAAGCAAGTATCACATGCCAATTTTCTAAATGTCTGATTCCCTACTAGTTAAGAAATCATCCTGCTTTGCAAAAATCAATTCTCAGATATTCTGAATGTAACTTTTTGAATGCTTTTAGCTTGGTCAATATCATATTTTGAATCTTATTAGAATGTTTTATATTGAAAAGTTTCTAAATATGAAATTTCTTACCCAAAACCTGTTCCTTTCTTGCCAGGATTTGTTAAAACATTTTTACCAGGAGCTTTGTATCCTTTTCCTGCTGACACACCAGGACTAAAAGCTGAAACATTTCCACCGAACGTACCAAAATGACTACCTAATCCTGATCTATAAAGAAAGTTAAAAAGTATTTTTTTTAACACAGTAAGCTTATAGAACTGTCAGAAGTTCCCTTTACTGGTACAAACCTACTGGAGTATTCAACTCAAACATGTTTTGTAAAAACCTAAGGCTACCATCATTCTATAATTAATCAGATCTCCCAGTAGTTGTTCAAAATGATAATCAGAAAAAAATGTTTCTTATAGCATGTTCATTGTGAAACAAACTAAAAACTTCAATCTCATTCCATAGATCTTCTGATTGTTTTTTCTAAAATACATAAAACTTACGGTTTTCTATCTCCACTACTTGGTAAAAATGGTTTGGATAAATTTCTCTTAGCTTCTTCCAATCTATTTTGTCTTCTCATTTTAATAGGATCACTATACGCCTCTCCTTCCAGTACTCTAGTAAATTTATCATTAAAATAACCATGTTGAAGTGCAGATTTATCTTTAGTTCCACCAGGTAACATTTGTTTACCCTTAGCACTCTTTTCATTGAAGCTGACTGAAATTAAACATGGAAAATTAATACAATAAAAAGGGCAAATCTGCAATGAAGACGCAGTCAGACAGTGGCATCAGGTTTTCCTGACACCATTTACAATAAGTACATTTAGTTTATGCTATTTAATCTTTTGTACCAGCACTCTGTCTGGTATAGTGGTAGACCTACCTAATAAATTCAATCATGTTATATACTGGTACTGTAGATAACAAGCGATTGTAGATAAACATTTGTGGTTTTATTTTTAATTCAGATTCAAAAATACTTTTCATGGTACTGATACACTTAGCGTTGAGTAGGCCTAGACGTTATACATGTCTTGATCTATTTGAATATATATTTAAACAATTATAGCTGACAGATAGTAAGCTTGGGTTACTAGAAGTTAGAAATGAGGTTTATTGAAGCAAAGCCTAAATAATACATCATTTTATCAACCTTTATCAAGGCTTATAGGCTAGACTTTGGCATTATAACTGCAAGGCTTCGGAAACGCAACAAGCCATATGACTTATATTTATGATCAAAAGTGGAAGAATCTGAATAAAAATCTTGTTTTTTTAAACTTACTTCCAGGTGCTTTATATTTGTCACCAATTGATACATATCCCATCTCCTGGAATAATCCAACTCTTTCCATATCATTTTTTCTGTCTCCCATTTTGATGGTCAAGTGTTGGGTATCTTCTCAGCTTTATTACTTATCTTTTCTTTAGAATATTACTGTGATAAATTAACAACACCTTTTCGGCTCGAATAATGCGTTGTCACAAACCCGTTACAAACTGAGAATCGTCAAGAGTTGGCAACAAGCTATCTTTCTATGCTAATCCTGAACAAGTCTTCCATATTGTTGTCATAATTACTATGGTTATTCTTCAATGCGCATGTGCAACAGGATTCAGTATGTTGACATCCGGTGAGATACTCCCGCCATTGAAACACAGCAAAGGCATGTATTTCAACAGTTAAATAAATGCATGTTATAGAAATACACATCCCCTTACGTTAGCAAATTGTCACGAAACACGAATGTAAGGTCTGCTGAACTTTCAAATCAAACTGTCACGCGGGTAAATCTAGTTATACCCATGTAAATTTGTAGAACCCCTCCCAATCCCCTCTTTGACACGAAAGTGAAAGTAGGCCTTAGGCATAGCATTGTCAGTTCCTCATAGCTCATACTATTGTGAAGGGTTAAACTAGTGATCAGATTTTAAGATAATTATTCATGTACAGATCTATTTACATTGCAAATATTATAGGATAGGCCTGTAAGAAAGTGCAAGCATTTCGTTTTCTTCATAATTTCATTTTCATCATTCATGATGACAGGGTTTTCTTTATCAGGCAAACACATCACTCAGAATATGTAATTTCAACATTCCAAACAGTAAGAATAGAGTATCTCATAATAATATAGTATATTTTGTTGAGTGCACAGCACTCCACCAAGGATTCAAATTATGGACTTGGAAGTTAATTTTCAAATCTACATACCGGTATATCAATATACTCTTTTGAGTTTGAGTCAAGTAATCAAACTAACTGTAAAGGAGGGAGAATGTCAAAGAATACACATTTTTTAAAAAATTCATAATGACAGGAAATGGCACTTGGAATCTCATTTGCTTTTTCAGAATATTTCAATATGGCACCACCTCCTGATGATGAAAATATGCTAAAAATTTTATTGGCTACAGACATACATCTGGGTTACATGGAAAAAGATCCTATAAGAGGCAACGACTCCTTAGTTTCTTTTGAAGAAATTTTAGAAATCGCCAAGAAGAAAGATGTTGACTTTGTTTTACTTGGAGGTGATTTGTACCATGATAATAAACCAAGTCGGAAGACATTACATGGTAGTATAGCCTTACTGCGACGTTACTGTATGGGTGATCGTCCTATTCAGTTTGAATTTCTCAGTGATCAATCCATTAATTTTGACCACTGTCAATTCCCAACTTTAAATTATGAAGATCAAAATTTTAATGTCAATATGCCTGTGTTTTCTATTCATGGTAACCATGACGACCCTACTGGTCAAGGCAATCTGTGCTCATTAGACCTACTTCATTCTGCTGGACTGGTCAATTACTTTGGTAAGACTACATCATTAGAAAAAATTCAGTTATCTCCCTTGTTGTTGCAGAAGGGAAACACAAAATTGGCCTTATATGGACTGGGCTCTGTGCGTGATGAGAGACTTCATCGTATGTTTGTTCATAAAAATTGTGCCATGTTACGTCCAAAGGAAAATAAAGATGACTGGTTTAACTTGTTTGTCATTCATCAAAATCGTTCCAAACACACGGCCACTAATTATATTCCTGAACAGTTTTTAGACGATTTTCTTGACCTTGTGTTTTGGGGTCACGAACATGAGTGTCGTATTGATCCAGAATGGAATGGAAATCAAAATTTCTATGTGACTCAACCTGGGAGTAGTATAGCTACTTCACTGAGTGAAGGTGAATCCAAAGAGAAACATGTTGGTTTGTTAATGATTAGGGGAAAAGATTTTAAATTAACTAAAATACCATTAGAGACAGTAAGACAGTTTTATATTGAAGATGTTGTTTTAAGTGACACAACTTTAGATCCCAATGATCATGATGTCGGTCAAAAAGTTGAAAGTTACTGTCAACAAAAGGTTGAAAATCTTCTTCTAAAAGCAGGTAAGTGTTCACTTTGCCTTTCTATTTCAAAAAATATTCTTGGCAATTTTCTTGTTTAGTGCTTTGGGGTTCAATTCGGGACTTCAGGTATATCTTGAGAAAGCCAAGTTTCCTGTCTGCAATGAAGTTTGAAGGTGCTGTTTTCATCAACTTTAACAACAGTTGAGACTATGAGAGTCCACTTGCAATTATATATATTTCACCCATTGTACACAGCCAAAATCTCTCTACATTACCCCCAATCAGTTGCAGAAAAAATTAACGAACAGCTTCATTTCATTGTATGCAATGCTTTTAGTAAAATGATAATAAGTATTTCAATCATGATTATATTTTTCCAAAGCATTCAATATTTAGTCAAGTATTGTCTCATGGTATAAGTATTTTAGGATTACGTTAATTAAACGTATAAGCTTAATACCTCTTGGAATGAGAATTAAATTTAGATGCTGAAACTTGGTTAAAATGAGTCTTTGATCCTCAGTAGACTTACCTGATGTCAAAACTATACAAAGGAATCTCTAGATAATCTATAAAACTAAGCGATAATCCATTAGACTAAATAATTTGGAAAATTGCCTGGAAGCATGTTCCAATAATTATTTATTTTAATGGATATATGGTATTATATAAAGGTTCTATTCATTAGTCATGGCACCTGGTTAGTCCAACTGATGAATACATACACTCAGAATTTTATGTCCATTCTAAGAGGTAGTATCCTTTGAGTCTCAAATTTGAATTTATTTTTTTGACAGAGGCTGAACATACAGGAAATGCTAAACAACCAGATAAACCATTAATAAGATTACGTATTGATTATTCTGGTGGATTTGAACCATTTAGTGTGTATAGGTATGTGTTGTTTTATTGTATTATTATTTCTTCGTGAATGTCAGATGAATTTTTAATGTGATTTATATTCTTATATTCTTACCACAACCAAAGCTGGATTAGAATCTTTGTTAAAACTTCACCTTGAAAATCATATGATCTGAATAATTTCCTTAATCTCAAATTGAGATTTGTCTGCTACAGTGAAACACAGTAGAAATACCCTGACTCACCAAAATTAAAGTCATTTTGTTCTTAATGTCATATTTGTTACTTGAAATATATGTTGGTATTGAAAATCAGAAATGAAATGAATGGAGTTTTGTGTCCTACTTTTCTGCACCTTATATGAAAATCAGAAATGGTTACTATTTTACGAAAGTTTGTTGACAATCAGCTTCTGTTTAACTCAGTTTTATCAATGTTTTATTTTTTAGATTTGGTCAGAAGTTTGTAGATAAAATAGCTAACCCTAAAGATATAGTCTTATTTCAACGAAAGAAAGTACATTCAATCAAAAAAGATGATGGTGATGAATTAGGTAAGTATGGACAATTCTGCAATATTTCCAATACATATGATAATTATTTATCTGAATCATAATTCTTTAGAAATTTAATGATATTTATTCTTGATTATCCTAAAAAAAACTTATATTCGGGTAACATTTAGAAATATTAATACAGAAATTTACAAAACGTATTGTTTGTACTCAGAGTTTCACGCTATGCTATCTTCAGTAACTTTTATGTAAGTGAAAAAAAGACAATTAATGTCTATGGGAGTTAGTTGAAAGGGATAGCTTCACCATTTTGGGGGTTAATATATGTAAATAGCCTTCACAAAATTGTAAATTGCACAATTCCTTCAAAAATATCTCAAACTAGGAATTTCTTTATCTTTTCATTGTGAATAATTCTGGACACAAATGGATTTGAAGGCTCAAATTTCAATGATGAGCTTTGAACACATTGATTCCTGTTGCTATGACTAAAGTATGATTGGTCAAACAGATGGCAAACATGTCCTTTTAAACAGTGTTACCTATTGTGAACCTCTACAAATTGGTTCATTGACAACTTCAATCAATGCTAAGGATGTTAACTTTTGTTTTTTCCTAATATCTCTTTTTAGATCCAGAGTTATTAGCTAAAATTAAACCACAATCATTAGATAGTGCTAGAGTTGAAGATATGGTTCGGGACTATTTTACTAAAGTTGAAAGTGTAAGTTTATGTACATGTCTAAAGATTTACTTCTTTAAATTATTGGACAGACTTACAAACATATTTAACCTCCGTAACCATTTTAACTGCCTCAGTCATCAACTCAGTAATCAAGTAAACTATCTCTCTTCAGTAATCATGCAAACTACTTCTTGGTCGTCAACTCAGTAATCAAGTAAACTACCCCTTCTCAGTAATCATTATCAACTCAGTAATCAAGTTAACTACCTCTCCCCAGTAGTCAACTCAGTAATCAAGTAAACTACCTCTCCTCAGTATTCCACTCAGTAATCAATTAAACTACATCTCATTAAATCAACTCATTACTCAAGTTAACTACCTATCTGTGGTAATCAACTCAGTAATCAAATAAACTATCTCTCTGCAGTGGTTATTGGACTATGTTACAAGATTAACATCAACTGGTAAACAGGGCTTCACTGTATTAGTAACTGTATTTGTACCAATCCTTACTCCTCAGTGGTTATTATATTTTTATCATCATGAAGCTATGTTAAAAGTGTGTGGATATATCAGGTTTTCTAGATTATCGGCAACAAGTTAAACAGGACTCCACTGTATTAGTTGCTTTCTTTCAAATTGTTGCCATCTTCACTCCTCAGTAATGAAGACAACATTACTATGTATGTTATGTTTTTTAGGGTAGTAAATTACAAGTATTAACTGAGAAAGGTATGGGAGATGCTATAAAGGAATATGTTGATAAAGAAGAAAGAGAGGCTATATCTGAATTGGTCAAGTATCAAGTTGGAAAAACACAGGTAATTATAACAAATCATTACATTTTCACGCTACTTGGTGCCACTCTTTGATTGGGATGATCATCACCACTCAACTTTTGCAGACTATATAGAATTGGACCAATCTTATGATTGAAGGTACATGTATATCCCTTGGACCTCATTACAGGCAACAATCCTTCTCAATTTGATGTAAGGTAGGACTTCCGAAGATGGATTGTTCTAAAATACCTTAAAAACATCAGATTTAAAATGATTATATTGCATTTCTTCACAGAAATATCTAAAACAACGAAATGCAGATGAAGAAGTAATCGATGTTGAAATATGTCGGTTCCGAGATGAACGAAAGGGAAAGAAACAAGAAGAGGAAGAAATACAAGAAGCTATGAAACTAGCTCAGGCCAAACGTTCTTCTCAAGATGATAAGGATGAGAATGATAATGATGCCTCAGTTATTGATTCTGAGGATAGTGATTCATCCTCTACTGCTAGTCGTGGTAGAGGACGTGGTCGTGGAAGAGGTAGTAGAGCTAGAGGTTCAACATCTAGTCAGACTTCAACTCGTGGTAGTCGAGGTGGTCGTGGTAAAAAGACACCAGTGGTAGAAAACAATACCATTACCAATTCATTTTCTAAATTCAAAAGATCTCCTAGAGGTGCTAGTAATAAATCGTAAGTATTTGTCAGTGATATGTTTCTATTGTCTGACTTTTTGTGCTCCTAATGGTAATAGTTCTACCTCTACTTGGGCTATAGTTCGCCATTTTCGGGGGAATGATTTGAATAATCTTCAGAAGTACTGGAGCTGCAAGAAAATCACATAATCCCTTCAAATTTACTTCAAACTAGAAATTTCAGATTCTTTTCCTGTATATGTATTTTCTATATATGGCATAGTATCTAGGGATGAGTCATTTTAATGTTAAAACGCGTATGATTTGGTACACATGGATTTGAATGCTCAAATATTGACAATGAACTGTGAACACTATTACTGATTTAGCTCAGCTAAAATATTCCGGTTTCTGAGACTAAGGTAAGATTGGTTAAACACGAGGAACATCCCTCTTGAAGTCACTTTATAAATGCCTAACTTCCCTGTATAATTAACCCTTTCAAGGATTTGCTAATACAGTCTTATAATTATATGGTTTACTGTCAAAGTGACATCAAATAACATTATATGTGTACATTTGAATTTATAAATTGTATTCAGGGTATATGACATTTTATCACTATGTTGGTATTTTTTACAGTGATTCAGATTCAGACATAGAAATTGTGGATGATGAGTTTGATATACCATCTTCAAGTCGAAAACTTAAAGTTGCAAGTCCTGTCAAGAGTCGAAGTAAGAAGAAACCTGTGATGTTTGGCTCTGATAGTGGTGATGATGATGATGAATTATTCCCATCCAGTAAACGTCGGAGATAAAACTGTGATATACTTTCAATGGTTAATGTGCTTTTTAAGAGAACACCAATATAATGCCACACCTAATTCAATATCTGATCAAGAAGCTTTTGAAATTTTTATGTTTTCACTGATAGTATTGATTTGTACCATTCTAATTTTCAGTCATCTGTAGTACTTGCTATTCCACTAGAACTTGGTACGGCTTAGGTCCTTGGATAATAATTAATCTTTGGGAATAGTGACAATATACAATTATGCATTCAATTTATAAAACAGGAACCACAGAATGGAAATAACTACCGGGTTTGGCTGGTTTCTTCTGATCCAAATCAATGCATAGATTTTGTTACAAAATTTGAGATTTGTCACTGAAATGTGGTTCAGCCTTCAGAAATTATGAAATATTTTGGAATCTAATTTACATCAACAAGAAATAGGCAATGACTGATGATTCATTCTCATCATTGTATTCATGTTTTAACTACTTTCAGATCATCAGTTAACACTAATTGTTTATATGAATCATGTTACAGTTATCGAATAAAATATTCATTTCAAACCTCAAGATATTATTGAATGGATCTAGATAGTAGAGGATAAGAACAATTTCATATGAAGTATGTTACTGTTTGAACTGAAACCATCCCCAATTCAAATTGCAAACAGGAAGGCCAAGTACAAGATAATAACAACCAAATCTTAAAGGATTTAAGTTGGAAAGGACACACTGAAGATTCAGTTCCTCTCTGGAAAACTGTTTAGAAAAAAAATAAACATCAGCTGATGTGGTGGGGAAGTTGGCAAGACCATACGTTTTACTGTTTTAGTCAAATTATTTGCACACATTAAGAGAAGATTCAAAACAGACTACCGGTAGTTTAATACTCTGTTACTCTACCTCAATTATAGTCAGTATTGTATTTGGAACAAAATAAGGTCTTCTTTTAAGGTGAAATTTAAGCCCTTCAAATGCTGGGGCCTCTGGCAGCCCCCAATTCTCCGGTCTTGCTTCGGGAGACAACTCATTTTTGGCACAAATATATCTATTGGACTGTATCCTCATTGTGAAATAATAACACTATATTTGAGCATTTACTCAAACTCAGTAACTGAGTTTATGTATCTAAAATCAGTATTACAATTCCATCATCACAGTAAAAACATTCAATAATAATGGTAGAATTGATGTCACATTTGATAAGTTAAGATCTTAGCACTGTGAATTTTTTTTTACAAGTATATACAAAACAACAGAATTCACAACACTCTTAGTAAGCAATTTATAATTATAATCATTTACTATTTTTCCATATAGTGCAGACACTAAACAACATTTTTTGCTGTTAATTTAAAATAACAAATGACTTAGAAAATTCTTAAACAAAAACACAAATGAAAGCAAGATTAACTAATAACAATTTAGAACTGAATTAGAATTTTAGAAAATTTCTTAATATGTAAAATAAATAGTAACAATGAAGATTTGGAACTCAAAATTCAAATAAATTATATTTTTTTATGAATCAATTGACCTCATCATAACTTGAATAAAGTTGTGATATCATCTTGGAAAATCAAACATTGGTGGCTGTCAAACCAGTGCAGACGACAATGCCAAAATTATAAGACTAATAAGAATCAAAGGGAATCCCAACTTAACATTGAGTATCAAGAAAATTTCCTCTTGATTATCATAAGGGTTTAGCAATTTGTGCCTATACATGTACCTTGAATGTACATTATGATAAGTGATACAGGTACATGTACTAAATACTGAAATCTATGCACACTATCATTAACTTATCAAATGTAACATAGTGGTAAGGTGTTGATAGAAGTCTATAAATTAAAAATGTTGACTACAATGATAGAATACTTATTAAAGATCACTCGCAGCGAGTTTCTCTTTATTCAGTTGATCATGCACTGAATAAAACGTTATTCTTCCACATCCATATATAGATAAACACAGAGGTCATTCCAAAAATAGGTGATATTAATGATCCAATATCGTTTAGTTTATAATTGTTCTTTACAGAACATGGTAATTCTTGATAAGTTTTAAAACAACCATAGTTGAGAATTCAATCCTAATATACATATAATATATATTCTCCTTCTAGCATGTGACATAAATATTTAAATCTAGAGTGGACCTGATTTCATGCAATATCATCTTCTCTCTCCACATATCATGGCACCAGAACTACAGAATGGCATCGACGCCATATATCATACACTATTCAAAGAACAACTGTTAAACAAATGCATCAATTACATAAAGAACTGTTGCAACATAAACACAGCACTTGTTTAAAAAGAAAAAAGTTTTCAATTGTGAATTTTGATGGCTTTTTCTATGTAATTATAACGAGTTCTTTTTGGAATTTTATTGACATGATCTAATCCCAGCCATGGACGGGCCTGCATGCCACCACCTGTAATGAGAAATCAGAAAAACTACTGAAAACCCAATCGCAAAGGCAAAAATATGCCATATTTTTGAAAGAATAACAATATTATTCATATTTGTTTATATTTTCATAGCATATTCGTATCTTAAAATAAGTAATCAGTAATAAATAAAATTAATATCATAATTTACCTGGCATGGTATGGGGTCTAAATTGAGATAAAGTAACACGGAGATCTTGATCATCATCTGGTATATAATCTTGTTTACCCAACATAACAATAGCAAACTTATACTGAAACAACAATACAAATATTAGTAATGTATCTATAATCAGTAACAAGTCAAAATATGATCAAAGAACAATGTCAAGGTGTCAATTCATCTCACAAAGACAATTATAATATAACTACAACAGAGCATTATGTCAATAAATACTGCCATCAACTGTACAAAGAATATTTACTTTCAATGTGTTTCATAACAATTACAATTCTCCTTTAGAAAGTCAAAATAATTTTAAAATTTTGGTAATATCTAGAAATGCTTACTTTTTCATATTCTTTGTCAGGAATTTCTAATTTCTTTTGTATTCGTTTCTTAACTGCTGTAAAAGGTTCATTCTGAAAACAAAAAATGAAAGTCAATAAAATCAATAGCAGACAGATTGATGATTTAACGAAAAAAATAATCAAAAAATATAGAACTGGTATGATAATGAAAATTAACCTTAAACAAAGTCAGAGCAGTTGCATAAAAGATAATATTTTCCAAAATCTGTGGACTCCAGACAAAAGTAGAGAGACAGGTACAAAGTTAAAAAAAGCTACTATAATTTGATGACTATAATGTTATACTTACATTTTTGACCTTTAATAAGAAAGGAACACCAAAGGTTGAATAGATTTCCTGAAATATAAAGAAAACTATTAAGATCATATTCTTTATTTCGTTTATTATGGAGTTTGTTTTACATTAGACCTTCCCTTGTCTGTCTCCATGAATCACTGTTGGTGAGCGAACATTTACCATATGTTTTGAAGCAGTAATAATTTATAGGTAATAATAATGAGAGAAATCCCAAGTGACAAGACTGAAACAAACCTTCTGAAAATGTGCCACTGGAATAAGAAGTTCATCATCAGCTAGTTCATCTTCATCTTTGGGGATTTCTTCAATACGATATGTTTTAGTACCAGCAGCCGGGTTAAATGTGTCTAATGTTGTAAATTCTTTTTGAACAGCTAATATCTTATAACTTATAATATCTAATAATCTGAAATAGAAAGTTATATAAATGTAATGTTTAACATGTGTTATAAGTTATATCTTATCTGAAATATAGAGTTCAAATAATCCACTATAACATGTGTTATAACTTATCTAATAATCTGAGATATAAATTTATATAAATATAATGTTTAACATGTGTTATAAGTTATATCTTATCTGAAATATAGAGTTCAAATAATCCACTATAACATGTGTTATAACTTATCTAATAATCTGAGATATAAATTTATATAAATATAATGTTTAACATGTGTTATAAGTTATATCTTATCTGAAATATAGAGTTCAAATAATCCACTATAACATGTGTTATAACTTATCTAATAATCTGAGATATAATTTATATAAATGTAATGTTTAACATGTGTTATAAGTTATATCTTATCTGAAATATAGAGTTCAAATAATCCACTATAACATGTGTTATAACTTATCTAATAATCTGAGATATAAATTTCAATACAATATAATGTAAACTTTGATTTTTACATACTGACACTCTCAAAAGCACAGACATTGGCATCAGAATCTCATCTAGAATATCTGAACACCTTGCAGACGACAATCTAACTAACTTCTTGCTTGGCTTCACTATGCAATATTAAGACAAATAATTCGAAAGTGAATTTTTGTCAAAAGATTTGAAGGCAGCTGTTTTAAATTAATCACAGAAAGAAAATTAATTGTTACCTTAGTTTCCCTGAGCCATTTTCTGGATCTAATTCTACATGTTTTTTAGCTTCTTCTAATAGATCACTAACCCTACCAGTTTTATTAGGATATAATATCAATTCTTGCTATAAATAAAATAACACATGGACTCATTAATAATATTATCCAAATAATTTTTGATAGCAATTCTATGGAACAGCCAATACATTATCTGCTGATTTTGCAGGAATGCATTTAACTACAATTAAATAATCTTTATTATTCATATCGAATACTGGTATATTCAATTTTTAAACACAGATTGGCTGTAGGGCTGTTACTAAAAAAACTCTCCACTGAAAAAGCCATTGCTATTTCTCTCACCTCCAATTCAACATATACAGCTCTCATGTTTAACAGTCAATTCCATATAGATATCCATAATAGATAAATAATGTGACAAGAGGAATGGAAAATTTAAACTTATCTTACCTCTTCCTTTAGTTTACTATTCAACCAAGTACACTTGAACTGCCGTTTATTTTCTAATTCATTAATTTTAATACTTAACTATAATCAAAATACAATTTCAATTACTTAATTTTAATATATTTCAATAATTTTCAATTGTTGAATGATCCATTTAATGCACAGACTGAAGCACAGAGGGCCTCGATATATTGGACCCATCAGAGTGATAAACTGAGTATCCAGTTGAATAACTTTATCTATGAAAGGTTAAATCCTTAAGCCATTGCAGTTAAAAAAAAACCAGCTTTTAATGTATACATGCATTCAAAATTACAATACATCAAACGAACTGAAGTCAACCCCACTAGACCATGAGAATAATAACTACCTGTTGATAGAAGATTTTTTTGGGCTGCCGTGGTTTTGTATACATCAATAAATCTTTCAATGTGCCCTCAAATGTACATCTTACTGCATTACCAGGAAGATCTCTATAACTACAAATAATATATAGATTTAGATAATAGGCCTAGGTTATCTGTTAAAGGGATTGTAAAGAGGTTTTATACAAATTTTATGTGTATCAGGGACACTAATAGTATCAATTTGCACCATTCCAAATTTCAATGAGACATCTGTAGCTGATAATGTCAAAGCATATTTTGTTATTAGTGATGTTAGCAAGCACATTTTGTCTGACTGAAAATTGGAATGATGCAAATTGATGCTATTAGTGATAGTGATGAACATAAAAATTTCATTAAAACTCTTTACAATCCTTTAAAGAAACTGTTAATATGCTTGCCATTACCAAATGATGCTCATAATATTCTGATTGTGCTATGTGCTTGCCAGAACAACTCTGGTAATGGGAATTGAGGGTCCATCTGAAACTTGTTAATTGTCCTAAATTGATTCTTTTACAGAAAGTACCATCAGAAGGCAAACAGTGATATTGAAATAAAAAAACAACTGATGATTCAGATCTTAAAACACTTAAATACTGACAAACAAATAAGACAAGGCCTACCTCTGACACTTAAAGAACTGTATAAGATAAGGGTCTGTACCAAGATGTGCTGCTACACTATTTGCCATTTGATCATACCCCATTTTTTGAGAAAGCACTAAGGTAAAGCCTGGATCATTAGGAAGGGTTTTATCACAGAATGTAACCTCAACTCGATAGTATAAATCTCTGTAAATAATAATATATTTAAAATAGATACTGTTTTTATATTAACTCAAATGTATAGGTGAATAACATCTGACTTTTCTGTACCTGACTGAACTATTGATCAAAAATAACACTATACAGTGGACAATAAGGGAAAATTTGTCAGAAGCACATTCTATCTTACACTTTATTTCATTCATAACAATAAAGAATCTTAAATCAAATTTTAAAAAATTAAAATGCCAGCACTAAAGTATAAATATTAGCTGGTAATGATGGCCATTTCCAAGCTACTATTTTCAATGTGATGTCAGTGACTAGCACCTCAACACATGAAATAAATCAGAGAATTTTTAGAAAATAATGGTTAGCAATAAAAAAAAAACAGAATTTACTTGAAATAATCTTTAGCAGTTGGTAAATCAAAAGATTCCATATCGAGATCACTACGTTGAAATACTAGTATATCACCATCTAATAATTCTTCTAATGACTTATCTATGGGCAGATTTAAATTAGCTATTTTCTCTGTATAGTTTGGTTTAACTTCCTAAAAAAGCAAATAAAATATCTGATTATCATGGAGAGATTTTAGTTTTGATTCAAATAAACTACAGACAGAAACAGTTATTATCTTCGCCTCTTCTAGTCAAAGCAAGGAATCAGCGTAATCAAAACAACTTGATAAGATATTTTACATCCCTCACATACTATATATTCATCTTGACTGTTATAAAGTGTTATTTTCATCAACTTGACACCATGCTTTCAACAACTTGAAATCGCAAAATATAATATCAACATCCTTTTTTTAATTACATCAAAACAAAAACCATAATGACGAAAATTGCAAAAATTTAGGAGGATTTTTTCTCTGTTGAAAATTCAAATGGTGAAATGACCCACTATTATTACAAAGGTTATGAATTATTGTAGTTTGACTTATAAATCATTTTACCTAAAAAACATTTCGGTCTGTGAATAGTATGGTAATTAACATTGAATTTATATTGTAATACAATTCTATTATCATACCTCGTATATTAGAAGTGGTGTATCAGGTGGAAAACCAGCTCTTTTTCTTAGTTCAGGTACAAGTTCAACTAAAATATAATTATAAATATTACAGCAAAATTCATAGTTCCATAGAAGGTATTTAATGCAAAAATGTTACAGAAGTCAAAATGTTACATACCATAGTTCAGAAGAACTTAAAAAATTAAAACAGAAAATTTTGAAAAACAATTCTCCTTATATTGTTTATGGAAGTCAATTAAACTTTGATAATAATTTTTATTTAGAATGTTAACATGCTGTATGAATGGTGAATGTTGTGTAAAGATACATACCCACTTTAGCTGAAATTGGCACATAAATATGACCACAATATGAGAGAGATTTAGTTCTAGGATCATACATCTTTAAAAACAATATGACATCACCTACAAATAGATAAAAATATTTTACATTAAAACTAACTACTGAATCAGTAATTGTTTGTTAATAGTAGTTCCCATAGCATCACAGAAAAGTCAAACTGTTGAATTTAATTTCAATCTGGCCAAAAATTTATTTAAGTTTAAGCTAAAGCTAGATTCATACTTCTAATCTTAGATGAATTGAGATTGCATTTTACATCAGAATTCAACTTATACAAATACCCACATAGCAAACTGTGAAAAACTTTAGAAATATGACACTTACTCTCATTATCAAATGGTTGTAATTCTTTTAATCCACTTTCAGGACTTAATGTTTCTACAAATACTGTCCATGGACATTCATTTTTAGCTGCTTCCATGATCTACAATTCAGAAATCCTCAATAAATTTTAACTACAATAAGATTTTACTCTCAAATTTCAAAAATTATCGTGCAAATTAAACTCTTGTGTTGTTTATTACAGCAATTCTCAAATTTGATGTTTAAAATGGTGGCCAGGTAAACATATAGAAACTATAGAAATAAGCTACGGTGCCTAACTTACATTTTTATTTAAATCCACCTCAGTGTCAAACCATGATGGACGTATTGTTTGATTTTGTCTTGGTTCTAGTGGCCATAATCGTATTTGGTTTAAAGGATAGTTCTGTAAAGTAAATAAAGGAATAATAAGATATTGCTAACAGAACACATAATTCAAATTTAAAGCTTCAATCAATGGACAACTGAATAACATAAAGTAACAGATAACCAAAAGGGATTGTAAAGAGGTTTTCTTTTATGTGTATCAGGACAAAGATAGCATCAATCTGCACCAATTTTTAATCAGACATCTGTGGTTCCAGCAATTCCACAAAAACTAAGTGTTTTATGGCGCCACATATTGCAAAGGGCCAGTGTGTGATTGGTGACCTCTTCAAACAATTAGTTTTGCACAATCCTATAAGTGTCGCCTGATACACATAAAAATTTTATAAAACCTCTTTACAATCCCTTAAAATTTAAAGCTTAAGGCAATAATGGGCAACTAAATAACTTAAGTTTACAAATTAATTAAAACCTTTGATTTTCATAACCCGAGAGTGGCTTTTAAATTCCTTTGACACAGAAGGGCAGCAATATGCTGAGTATTCCAGTATTAAATAGTTAAAATATATCTTACCAGGTTTTCAGATAACATTTCCATAAATTCTAATATAGAGTATGATTTCTTGACTTTAAATACCCTGTAAAATATAGACCTTGAACATAATCTACAGTTACTGAAAACAGTTTCCCAAAATTAGTTGGTAAGCTTGTATGAGGCAAGATCAACTACATTTCAAAGTAAGTCCCAAAATGACCTGCTTTGGCAACAATCTTTAAAAGAACAGAAATACGTCCAGTAATGTTAGATTATCTTACCGATAATTGACTCTCTCAGTATCAAACAAGTCATTGCCTTGATGACCATAGAAATGATCTTCTAATAAAACTTGAACATTCATATATAAATAGGCCTCAGTTCTCTCTTTACGTTTCTGAGCATCTACTCTCCTGAAAATACATAGTTACAATGTTCTCATTTTATAATAGAAGAATGAACAACCATAGATGACTCAAAAACCTCCCAAAACATAAACTGAAAATACTATTAAATATAGTCTAATTACTAATCAGAAACTTCTTAAAATTCTTTGTCTTAAAGAATAAGTCAAATAAATTTACCTTTCTTCTTGCAACCTTTCTTCTAAAGATTCTGGAATGTCTAAATCACCATTAGGTAGGAGGCATTCATCTGGAATAAAAGAACATGAAAATCATGCCATGAAATGGAACCACAGAAGCTAGGCCAGAACTGAGCCTTGAAATGTGCAGTTTTGACTAGTCTAAAAATATTTTGGTGTATCTAGAGAATTTTAGATCTAGAAACCTAACTGCATTAACAATCATCTGATGGGACTGTGATTCATTTTATCCAAATAGCTTCAGAGCATGAATAGGTTGCCAAATACTCATTCACCTTTTTTTTGTGGGTATATAAACAAATCATATCTAGAAGTGTGTTTATTGGTCTGTTGAATGAAGTTTCCCTTGTTAAAGTTTTATCTTTATACTCACTTAAATGACTCTCTCTAATATAAACCAACATATAAGCATTAGTACAATATCTAATAGTCATATCTTCATCATGACAACCAAAATTTTGTTCTATAGCTTCTGATTTGGTACACCGAGATACTACATCATCATCAAATTTACACCACTGAAAATATTGATATATATATATACAGGTTATTGTTAACAACTTCAGAACTGAACATAATATAACATAAAAAAATCAGATTATAGAAGCAAATTCTGTTAAATGCAAAATTGTATTGTTTTGATCTAGACTAAACATCAAAGACTTACCATATCATGCAATAATGAAAAGTGAAAAATGATATCAACTTTGTGGAAATGCCTCAGAAACTGATAGATTTTAATTTTGAAAAGCCGAAATCGCACTCTATTAGAGAGTAAAATATTTAGAATGAACTGCATCATATAACCCCAATCATCCAGTTACAGTTTCAACCTTGTAAAAAGAACATTACCTTGCCATCTCCTTTAGGATTAATATATACAACATAATGCCCACCATGATTGTCCCCACTATGTACAAGTACTGCATGTAAAATATATATAGCTGGAGTCTCTTCTTTACTTTGTAGAAACTCATCTAAATGTAACCTCTCTGGGAATTCAAACCTAGAATAGAGAAAAACTAATTTGAACTAGTACTGTTGAAATTAACTACCCATTTTCTACTAGCATATACACAGTTGAAATATGTCCGAAAAACACTAGTCATTTATTATGAGAAAGGCCAGTATTCAAATCTTCATATTCAGTGGACAATGAATCTTGATACTTGTTTATAAAGAGTTCATCTCATGCTACCAGTATTGGATAAAAAGTTCTAATCAGAACAGCTCGTATTAGGACTTCAGATGACAACCAAAGCAAGCAAACAGACTCAATGAAAAGTCCAATTCGAGAATAATATTCTGCAGAACGAAGCCTTTGATCTCAAATCTCTTTTTTATGTATCACTTCTTCCTCCAGAAAATGTTCCAAGAGATCTATTTTGACCCTTGACTACAACAATTTGACAATGTTTACCAAGGTGTCTGTTATCATGTTATAAGGCCTATCTAACAAAACAGAACAGTAAAATGAATATTGTTATCTATTTTATAATGTGACTAATGGACTAACCTATCATTTATTTTGATATTGGTATCTGTGAGAGGATCATACATAAATCTCATAAGGTGTAAATGTAATACAGGAGGAAATTTCAGAAAAATGACACCTTTTTCAGCTTCCTGTAATAAACAATAACAATTTGATCTTTACCAAACACATCTTTTTTGTAATGAGACTGTCTGCAATCAAACGATTTCATGAGCTGTGGTCAAATTTTTTAGGTTCCAAGGAAATCAAGATATCCACACACACACACACACACAAGTTTTGGTTAATCAACAAAATGTCTAATACCTTCTGATATAGCAACTTAGATTTGTAATGTTACAAAAAGGCTTATTCATTGCATAAAAGTCAAGTTGCACTAAACACTAGTCTTTGTTATTGTTGTTTTATAAAATCATTTTGAATTTAAATCCTACCTGTAAGCCATATTCTCCTGCATCATATTTATTATCACCATCTAAAGTTTCTACTGTAACATATTCTTTAAATGATTCATTTACTGTTAAAAGAAATAGATAAACATTAACATGAACATAACATCAGTAAACTTAATTACTATAGCATGTGTCAAATGTACAGAGATCCTAGTTCAACTTTACCTTTAGTTTGCTACCATAACACCTTTAATTGAGTCTCCATATATAGTGCCTAAGAATCCTGTTTTTTATGGACAAAACTAACACGCTCAGTGCTTCCAAAGTAAAGGAGAATTGAAATTGTTTGTAGCATTGCAAAGCTCAGAATTCAATTTAGTTTGTGTGAAAATTTCATTATCATATCTCAACTGATTTGGCCGTGGTGAAGCTGAATTTTCAAAATAGTGAAAATTGGCTAAGTTCAACAAGTAGCTACCTGTGGGTCGATTTCTTTATCATTTAAATGTAATATTTATTGGCTTACAAACAATTTTTATCATAATGTATTCTAATATTTAGATTGATTACTACAAATCATCCAGTATCTTTAAAGCCTTTCATCAAAAGACAATTTCTTTATACAGATGTGTTATTTTGTATAAATGTGTCTATTAAGTCTAGCACCTTACCTGACTTTTTACTTTTAACATTTAACTGGATATCAAAAAATGTTTCTTCTTTTTGAGAACAATAATTAACATGTTTACATCTAATATAAGACTAAAATAAACAATGGGAAAAACAGAAATTATATGGTCTCTATTTTCGAATCAGAATTTCAAGGCCATTAAAACTTCTGCTTCTAATCTCAGTGTGTAATGGATTGGGCAGGTAAATCTTGTATCAGCCCTTCCACAATATTATCGTGTTGCTGACAGGATTTATCATATCAAACATGTTTAATATTTGTCTCGGATTATTTTATTGTTTACAAGACAGAGAGTCAGTATTTAATCAGATTCAATTTCCTTCCAAGTGCATGCTCCGCACATGATTATCGTGGAAAATGATCAACTGGAAAATTTTGTCTCCTCGTGTGCCCGCAGCTGGTCAGTGAAACTCTTGACAAGACTCTAGTCGGCAACAAATCGCCGACCAAGACCATGTGTGTGTCTGACTTTTAGTGGTGGAAGGACCAGAGACAAATTTGAAAACAAACAAGTGATCTGTTGAATACTTACCAACATCTTGCCTTCAAATAGACTAGGTATAGTACCACCAACACAGGTACCCTTCATTTTAATTTCTATGTTGTCCAGCAACTAAAAGTAATAACATTATAACATTAACATTGTTTTTTTCAACTGCCTTTATAACTGTTTAGAATGGCATGTGATGAGCTATCGATTAAATACATGTCAAGAGTCTTGGCAATGAGAGAATTCTTCATGACCTTCTAGTTTACTTCTTGTAACTGATCAGGGTACTATAGTCTTCTTTATTTACAAGCTGTGAGTCTAAAACTTAGCCTTAACTTTCAGAACTAGCTGAAGACACAAGTTCTAAGGAATCAAAACCCATCAGGTAAGCTTAATTATTCTATAGAAATATAGTATTTATCAACTTACCACTCTACATAACTCTTGAACATCATGTTGCATAAAAGAATCAAGAGTTTCCCACCTGAAATAATTCATATTATCTTTTATAATGATTTGAAGTAGTAGACTAATGAACTGTGATATAACACAGTTCTAGAAAATACTCGTACAAAAATGGACGGTCAATTTTCATGCATTACATATTTTGTTCCTGCACAATAACACAAATTTCTATGGAGTATAAAACTGTGATCTAGAATCTTACCCAAATGATCTGGTTAATTTTTTTGTTCCTACAGGTTTATCACTAAACTGTAATTCATAGAATACTCTTTGTAAAGCTAAAGCTACACTTTTAGTACAATCATCTCCTTCTGTAGGCATTAAATATACAGCCTGTAAAATATAAATAGTAAGAAATTATTAACTCATAATAAATATTTTCAGTCTTTATTGTTGTATATTGTAATTTTCTTTGGTGATGTTGATCACATAAGATAATGTAGATAAATTATGACTAATATATAAAGTCATGACTAATAGGTTAAAGTCATGACTGATAGATAAAGTTGTGATGAATAGGTAAAGTCATGACTGATAGATTAAAGTCATGACTGCTAGATTTAAGTCATGACTGATAGATAAAGTCTTGATGAATAGGTAAAGTCATGACTGATAGAGAAAGTCGTGACAAATAGGTAAAGTCATGACTGATAGATAAATAAGAAAGTAAAGATTAAGTCATGTGAAACATATCAATTAATTATACAATAGGTATTGCATACTTACTTGTCTAAGTTTATTGGTAAAGAACAAGGTTTGTAATAAAGAATTCATATAACATGTAGCACCTTGATTTCTTAATCCTACAAACCCTGTATGTTTCTTAGAATCCCAGCTGAAAAGCAATGCAGAACAATGTTCAATAGTTTTGCTCATAATTTTTTCAAAGTGTTTTTTTTCATTCAGAAATTTAAATAGTGCAAATAAATAATATGTATAAATGCACATAAAAAGACTAGACAAACATTTACATATGTGGCCTGTAGTGATTAGGCACAATATAAATGCCAGAATCTAATACATAAAACATACCAAGATTTTCCTCTAGATTAAGATGCATATTTTCAAACACATCATAGACTTCCAAGTTGAATTTAATATACACTACTCACCTTACACCATGTGGGGCATCAGCTTTACAAGAAACTTCTAATACTAATTTATCATCTTTAACATAGCCTTTCTCAGGATCTAACAATTCCTAGAGTATAATAAAATATTGTGCTAAAAACTCATCTTGACACTGTCAAAGCATATAAGGAATTGTGTTCTTAGAAGTGTTTACAAGCAATTTTGGACAGATGGACACAAGTCATGCCAATAAATGCTCCACATTTCATATTGGCATATAAAATGAGTAAAACATAGAAATAAAGATGAATTCACTTACGTTCCAGGCCAAGAAGTGAGTATAACCCCAATCATTTTCTTTACATGTAAATAAATGTTGAATTTCTGAAAAATAAAAGTGTTGTACAAAATTCAAACAGAATGTAAAATTCATGAATTTAATGTTTTACTTGGGACTATCTTAGTCTGAAAAGTCATACTTTTTACATTTTAAGACACGAGCACTAAGCACAAAATCCATAATGAAAAGATTTTGTCATATATTTGAATTCAATATTTCTGTCTTACTTCTAGTATATGAATCAGCTTCATTCTTTTGATTGACTATCTTTAACTCTGCTACAGCATGGCATGACCAGGAGCTAAAAAGAAAAGGGAATCAGTAATCAGTACAATTCCAACATCAGATAATTCTTGGCCGTCATCAAAGTTTTTTGTAATAATAAATTTTTTCCAATGAAAAATGCTTTTAGAACTATTTCTATATGGTATTATAGAACAATGGTATACAATGACAACTTACGGTGAATCAGATTCTGCATTGCATTGAAGGAAAAAAGCAAAACTTTTCTGTCTTTCTGAGGTTTGGTTACTTCTCATCTGTATCATCATTTTCCTACAAATTACAAAATTACCAAAATGAAGTCAATTTGATGTTCTTCTGGTATAAGGATTTCAAAGAACAAGTTATGACTTGAAACAAAGTGTATTTCTATTAGTGCATTATTGTTAAGATGATAAATTAAAACTAGATTGTGTCAATTTAAATATGATTTCTGTAGATAAACAAGCATTTACTTGACTCATTTACTCATTGATAAAAGTAATCAGTAATACTTACCATGGTAAGTTACGAATCATAACAGCTGGACTATACATAGATTCTTTTAATTTACTGATATTATCAAACGTATGGCGAAATAACGCTTCTGCTCTACATTCATCTGAAATTAATTCAATTCCAAGCTATAAAATGTTATACTACAGACAGAATTCCTGGTAGATTGAGTTATATATAGGAGAGGATTGCTGGGAGGTCAGAAGCTGACAATAATAAGTGTCTTGTTTTTAACATGAGAATGTGCAAGTCAATGTCACTTCCATGACAAAATTTCTCATAATGCACATGTTAAAGCCCCTCAGTTCCCAAACTGGGGAGTTTTCACCCCCTAGGGGTGTAGGACTAGGTTGTCAGGGGTGTGGCCAACTGGTGTAGGAGCAGAATTTATTTTGCATTGAGAGAGCACCTCACATCATCAAATGCTGGAAAAGTGGATGAAACAAATTTTTCAGTGTGTGAAAGGTCCAGGTGATTGCCCCCAAGGGTTTGAAGACTGACAAAGGTTGGGAACCACTGTTATAGCCCAATCTGGAGCTGAAAGCTAGGATATCATATTAAACATGTAAGTAAGGAAAGCTTACACAACATGTTGACATGATGAAGTTTTCTAAATTCTGTGTATAGGAATTCCATGGACAAGTAATAACAGAGTGATTTATAAAAAAAGCATACCTTCAGTCATTTCTTCATCTTGATTAACCGCACCCGCCTCTTCCAAACCACCATTGACAGCATTATTAACTGTGTCATTTCCATTTTGACTATCCTCTACAAACATAAAGGTATCACAGTATTAACTAAAGAACTTTTACTTACAATTGATTTATTTCATTACCTAAACCATCCTTGAAAGGGTAATGAAAACTATTCTTGTTGGTCAACAACATTTACTGTCGTGGCAACCAATTACAATTTTCATAATAAGTTTAAATATATTGAAGTACCGGTACTGTAAATCATCAAATCTGGTAAAACTGATCACATATTTCAATGAAAATATGTTGAGCAAAGTTAACCAGTCTTGGAAATATTTTTCAATAATCTGATATAACTGAACGATTTCAATTGATGAACCCTATATTTTGTTTCTCTTTTATCAAATTTTTGTATGAATTTTTAGTTGTCTGAAATAAGCAAATAGCAACAAAAAGTAATTTGTTTACTTTAACATAATATACCAATCTTAATACGGAAAATATCAATTTATCAATAAGCAAGATAAATAATAAACAATGTACTATACTATTTATAAAAATCAATAGCAAATATCTATTAGCAACCATTTATCATAACATGTTTCTAAATCATGATAGTTCTTAAGATCTAAGGCTTTTTCTCTGTTCAATGACCTGCTGAGTCAGCTTAGATCAGACATTAGAGCGTGCTCATAAGATATTGGAAATGAAATGAATGGAGTATTTACGTTTTACTCTTCAACACCTTATTGGGCTTAGAATGAAGGGAGATTTTGCCACGACAGCCGCATTAGCCTACTCTTTTTTGATTTCCACCTGTTGAGGGATGCCACAGAATGTAGCACAAGGGGCCTTGGCCTATTGGTCCATCCGAGCAACAAGACGCTTTTTCCAAGTTAGCCAATTGGCAGAAAAATTTCTTAACTGACAGATAGTAAGTGCTGTGTAAATAAAGGGAATACCAGGTCAAGACTTTAATCTCTACCTGATGATAGTTCTTTCTGCCCATAGACGTGATTTATTTCAGATATGTTTTAAAATTTAGTGCAACATTTTGGTAGGTCTACCTCTGGCGCCGCAAATATGGTTCCATTAAATGAAATATTATCCAAATGGTCAGAAAATAATGACAACAGAATCAGCAAACTCAGATTATTTTGAGTTGCTTTATGAGCATGACAGTCACCATTACCATCAATGAATCTGTCAAATTGTCAGAATAGAGAACTTCTCTAGTGTTAGTTGTCTTTTTAATCATTATTATGCACTTTTTAACACATGTTCCAAGTTTTGCACATGTGAATAGACATAATTGAAACCTAACCATGTAAGATTTATCACATAAACTGGAAAAGTCGTCAAACATGTTCATGTTTAGAAGCTTAGAAGTTGTTTATAATCATGGTGTAGCCTGCCAAATAGCCTATTAATCAAAAAAATTTACTTTTCATATTTCACTCAAATCTGCTAATGCAAGCAATTAAAATATTAAAGCTTATTACACCTACTTATCATTATGGATATTTTCTTAAAGTTAAGCAAACATCATTAATTGTCATTCAGTCTTAATTGATTAAGCTTATAGACAGTAGAAAATGTGTATCGGTATTTAAGTCATATAAATCAAATCTACAAACTAGAGTTTATAATTAGTTCTTTATCATACATAATGAGTAAGCCTTAGATTTACATAAACATAGGGTTTCAACCATTATGAAATGATTACGACATGACAATATTGCTGGTTAAGGCAAAACATACTTATAAGACATTTGCTTACTATAGTATTATTTACGACATCAGATCTATCCTATAAACAGACCTTACTAATTAGCACTTACTAAGCACCCACAATAAATAGCTGAATATTTGATTCAAGTTGTGCATGCATTTAATAGTAAGCTTAGCCTTTTATTATCTAGAAAGAATAGAATGTTATGTTACGACAAACATTTATTTACATAATAAAAAAGGACTACCGGTATCGTTAGACCTAATTTAATTGATTCTACTTTACCCAAACTTACTCTTTACACTTAGAGGTCGAGAAAAAACTAATACACACCCTTGATCTGATCGGTTTCCATTTGTTCATGATCCGTGTGGTTGTTTAGCTTGTCATTTACATGGTTCATTGTGTTGTTCATATCATTAGAAGTGACCGTTCTTTGGCGATCTCGCCCTGGAGTCGGAGGACTTCTTTGCGAGACGGTCACTTTGGCGTGCTTACTCGTAATTCGCCCAATGTCTGTAGCTTTTGCCCCCACGCCGGGGAAAACTGCTACAATCAAATTTATGCCGACAATTCGACAAAATGTTCGTGTGTTGCACACTTCCCTCAATAAAAATAAACAAGATGGCCGCCTCTAAATAAAAGGGGAGTATGGGATAGAAGTTGAGGAAACTGGCTTTATTTCCTTTCTTACCATCCATTGGTGATACTTTAGCAGTCATTCTTTAACACAGAATACTTTATAAAACTTTGAGCCTTCAACGGCTACCATGAATGTCTCCTTCACCAAATTTTCTCTTCCGTGCTTATTCGGGTATTTTCGCCAAACTGTGTCAACAATGCGCGTGCGTCATAAGTGCTTCCGTTATCAACCAAGAAGGTTGGGAAAAGAGTGGAGTCGTAAGGAAAATCATAATTAAAACCTTTATTTTTCAGCCTGTAGGAACTCCCATGATTGGTTATAATTGTTTTAGATATAAGATATCAAAATGAATCCAGAAGAAAACCAAGAGACTGACCAAACAGCCGAAAATTGGCTCAGTAATTTTGAAGATGAATGCTTGGATGAACTCGAAAATGAACCCAATATGGAGGACAGACTGTCAGCTGAAAGAGAATACGCAGTTCAGAATTTATGGATGACATTTCAAAATTCTGCAACAGCCATAGCTCAATTATATAAAGGTAAAGGACAAGGAATATGTTAATGTGATATTTTGTATCTTTGACTATGATGAGCAGTTGGATGCAAATTAAAAATTCCAGATCTATTTTTGTTGATATGGACTGGAGTGGACACTTGTAGGCTAGTTAGTAGTTAGCCTACAGTGAGTTTGTAAGTTGTAAATGGTTAAATGGCTAACCTTTTCATCTTAGTTGGGACTGATCTTGCTTAGCCTATTTAGTCACAACCATTATTGCTGTTGTCATCGGTTACACAAGAAAAAAATATTAGTCCCACAAAAATAATTGCATTTTGGTACCAAGATGACATAATTTAGTATGCAAACACAAAAGCATTATCTTGCAAAGTGAAAGTTAATTCAAACCTTAATTGTAGGTAATTTTTATAGCCCTATTTAATTAACAAAATGATTACAGAATCATTACCGTTGTGGAAAGATTTTGACTTGAAGAGGTCTTTGACTGTTGAATATGTAAATTAGCCTGCACATCTTATCTGTTTTGTTATAAAATTTCAAGACAATAACATATTCCAATCTGATCATTTCTCAACTGGTCAATAGAAATGTCAAAATGACCTACGACTGGTCTGGTACACTCATATTCTTGTCAATGATAATGTCCCTTTGCACTAACTCTGACAATTGTTCAGTTTAAGCTATCATTGAATGAGTACCGGTATTGAGATAATGAGTGAGTCACAATTTATGTCTTCTATAGAATTATAATTTATCAAAAATGTACTGGGTATATATATACCGGTATTTTTTTTTGGTTGAATCCAAGAAATGCTGAACTAAACTTGATTTTGAAATCAAACTTATTAGATTAAGTTTTTTAAAGTGATTTATTCATAATCCACTGTCTGGTTCATGTGTTGTCCACTCTTCAGATACAGGTACTGAAAAAGATTTTAAATTTGACTTATTTGTCACGGTATTTCTTCTATTTGCAGATCGTCAACAAGGGAATTCTATGTGGTTACCATTTCAAAATGCTGCCATGTCTGTGACTAGTTTATATAAAGGTTTGTTACTTTGTTAAAACTTTTGAATGATAGGCTTATAGATAGTAAGTTGGGTTTCAAATAGTTTTCATTAAACTTGTGTTTATTATTTTTTCAATTACGGTTCAAGCACAATATTTATAATCAAATTTTGACAATCTATTTTTAAGAATTGAAAAATTTGGGATATATTCAGGGAATTTCAAAAGTGTGTTTTTTGCAAGTCAATATTTTGGCTACAAGTACTATAAAACATCTTGCTTTGCGTTAACAAGTATAATATTTTCTATTCTCTAGAAAGTTTAGATACATATTCAAAGTGTGTAGACTTAGGAATTCAATGTGGTCGACAACATAAAACTAGAGACATAATTGCCTGGGCCAGGAAAAAACGTCGACATATTCGTCGGGAAGATTTATTAGCTTATTTATGTGGTAAAAATCCACCTACACGACACAGACTTGGTAGTGCCTCCAGTCGTCAGTTAGCTAGATCAGGTCTAGAGAGATCATCTCAACGTCTTCCTAATCCAACACAAGTTGATGTTGATCAAGATCTCTGTGCATTTAGAGAAGCTATTGCTCTTCAAGGTTAGTAACTTTATTAATTGAACCGATACACATATATATGACAGTACTCCAATTCGGACCATTAGGGATTATTGTGCTACCAAACAACCAAATATATTTAGGGCTTCTGTGACTAGTTTAATTTATCTGATCCATTAACGTTTAGCTAATATTCATATGTATGTCAGGGTAGTTAGTCAATTTTATTTTGATGTATTGTGAAAAATTCATCCATAAAATCAAAATCCTTGGATTATGGCTAGGACTGATAATTATTGCTGGGTAAAATAATTGATCATCGTCGCTCGGAATTTAAAATTTTGATTACCGATTATCAAATTACACAATGGATTATATGTCAAGTTTACATTTTCTCCCCTGTACCTGTTACCAAGTAGAAATCTCTTCAAAATACACATAAGATACCCACAATAAACTATAATAACCAATCTAAGCAAGAATATACTTCTATGAAGCAAAAATTACCAATGAAATTTAGAATTTTGGCATGTTTTTAATTCAGTATTTTTGAATTGATAATCAATCTCAATTTTGTAATCAATAACCACTGATAATAGTTCAAACAATTTCATGTAGCTGTCTGGGTCCTGTCAAAATTTAGCTACTTGTTACCTTAAACCATTTCTGACTAAGGGGAGATATAATTAGATTTGATGACAGATAAATATAGATATATAAGATTTAATTGTAAAACATAACATCTTTGTTGGACTCAAATCATCCATAGAACTTATTTTTTTACCACATGTTAAATGATTTTTTTGCAGGTTTAAACGGAGCTATGTCAAATGTTAGTGTGGGTTACAGACCTCATCCAGGTACACCACCTAATTTATCACGTAGTAATATAGACGACTTAAATAGGTTTATACATGATGAATTCTCTAGATATAGTGAAACAAGAAAACGAACTGGTTCTCCTGATGTAAGAATGGATTCACCTTCAAGAAAAAAGGGGAGATTTATGTGATAAATATTCAACTGTGGAAATATTTTCAAAACTCTGATAACCAAAAAAGAAACATTTATGCTGATGTCTGGATACACCTTCTGATATATGTTGAATTTTTCAAAAAAAAAATGAAATATTTTTGTTTTTGTGTCCTATTCGAGGTCGAGGACTGAAAGCTTCTAAGGACACAGCCTTAAATTACTTGGTGATATTTTGTGAGGCATTGAAATATATTTGTTAAAGCTATGTCAATCTGTGTGGATGTGTAAATAGCTATGCTGCTATGATTGTGAGCTATGTGGTGAATAATTCTTAAAAATATAAAATGGTCGTGAATGAGAATAATAATTGTGTGAGGTTTTTTTAGAGTAAAAAATATATCAAAGGAAATTATTGTTAAATTCTAAATATTTTATAATTTTATTCAAATTCTTGTTGATTTTCCTTTACTCGTCAAGGGTATGTTCACAAGTGAGACATCAACTATCTATCTTGCATCTTATGAAACATTGTTAGTTTGTTATAGGCCTAATTCTAACACACATTTTAGGTTAAGTTATTAAGCCTATTTAACAATTAACAAATGATAAACATTGTGACATAACCATCACATAATATGCATGTTATAACAAAGAACCATCATCTTCAGATAATAAATGCAACTGCAAGAATTATTAGTGTGAACGGCTCTTTATCTCTGATTATCTCTCGGGCACTTCAATCACCTTCTTTCATCATTAATCTCATATGTTTCCTCTTCTGTTTCTTCTTGGAATCTAAGGTTACTTGCTAAATGTTGAAATTCTTCTTAATCTTTGTCTAAAATTATTCTTCATTTGAATCAAAATCTAATTTCATTTTCATCTTAATAAAACAAATTTCAAAAACATGCAAGCATTTCTTTCTTCTAAACAATAAGAAATAAATGTTATTTTAAATTTTGATTCGAATACATCTTTCGTCATATTAAAAGAAGTGAAATTTTTGTAGTCAATAGTAACATATAAATCCTAGAAGTCATTATAATTTAATATTATTTAATTAGAACCAATTAATTACTATATTAATATATCAAGCCTTGTCTTACTTCTTGACCACTGTCATTTCTGAATTTAATTTTGTCTGTCATTTTTCAATGGATTGAAATACAATATGTATATGTATTTCTTTAAATTCTGTCTCTTACAAGAATTTACATTACTAACAAATTTTGCTGAAAATTACATGAGTAATATAAATTTTCAAACAACTTTTTTTGAATGTATTCTTTTAAGGCTTTCACTTTTATCGTGGGCTAATACTACAGGATATTTTAATTCATGAAAAAATATTTGAGAAAATAGGATTCAAGATGTAAGTGGTCATACAGTAACAATATTTTATGTCCTGACAATATTGTTTAACAGAGGCTTGTCAATGCATTAATATTCTATGATATTTTTGTTTTATTATTATAATGTATATGTGTCCTGTGTATAAAAAGAGAAAATATGATTACTTGTCTTTCTTTTTGTTCATTCTGTTTTCATAAATACCCCATTGTATGTCTTTTTGCTGCAGTAATAATTTTACCCAGCAAAGCAATAAATAGCATTGCAATTTAGCCTTTAGGAATACAGCTAATAAGAAGAGTATAATATTTATAAAGCTTGGTTTACTGTGGTTTGAGAAGCTGTAAATCAGATGATTGAAAATATTTAAGAAATAAAGAGCATACTGTTGAGAAAAGAAGGATCTTTGTACTGCTATATACAAAGACAATAGCTGTACATCAATGGACGTTTTGGTGTAGAATCCAGTACATCTTTCTGTATTATGAAGGAAATTATTCATGAATTTGTCAAAGGGAGAAAACTGCTTGTTAGGATTGCACGAGACAAGGGGGGAAATTTCAATTAACTGTAGTCCGAATAAATACATTAAGCAATAGCAAAATAACGAAACTTTTTGCTTTATTAAAAGCAGGGCAGGTGACTGAAGGGAAGACAACATTTTTTGTAAAAACAGTTTTATTTGTGAGCTTGAATGAACATAGCCCAATCAGGTGTCGGTTCAAGGCAGAAATAAAACGAACATGAACTTTACATGACTCTTTTTGTGGTCAAAGTGACATAATATTCAATCGTTGTAGTCTGAAGCTGTCGTGATATTATAATCATATGCCCTTCGTCTTGTCTAGTCCAATTAAGTCAACATTACTTTAGGCTTATTAATATTAACAATATGTCAATTTAGCAGTAAAAAAGAATTTGTATTAATTCAGTCCAATTAAAATCGAAAACATTGTCAGCTGTTTCAGTCTTTCATTTACTCGCAATATAGGTTTAATCATAAAAGAAAGATATAAATTTGTATAAAGTGACAGAGTTATTCATTTACTGTGGCTCATTAAGTAAAGACAGTGGAATACCCTCTCTACAAAAAGCTTTGTCTTAAATAGGCTGCAAAATGACTATTATTGACGAATCGAGATCACGTCTCCGTAACCACCCAAGGCTGAGCTTTATTGACAATCAGAAATAGCGAAAAATATTTAGTATGAGTTATTGCCCTTGTTCTTTGAAACGTGTTTAAGTTTTTAGCCCGTAAACACCCTAGAAGACACAATTCTTGACGGATTTTAATAAAACTTTTTTATTTACACACCTGTACGGTGGTTCACATTTTTATTTCTTTATTATTTCTTTTTATTTCAACTAGGAGTTTTTAATTCAAAATAAAAAGTGAAATACGTCGTATGTGAGCCACCGTACATATGGATGAACCCTATTGAAAATCACAAAATCTTTTATAGGAGTTAATGACCTCGTTCTTGAAAACGCTTTCAATTAAGGTTGAATAGTATTCAGGATAGTTACAAAAGAAATGTTAACCACAAACTAACACCATTGTTTCAACTTCAAGTTTTGATTAATAGGTGATTTCTGATCAGAAGGAGTTTCTGGTAGGACCGGTTGGTTTGATATGCCTTTTTATTCATAACCAGTTTGGTTGTTTTAAAACGGATGTTACGGTTCATCTGACCAACCACAAAAGATGTTCATAAAATACCAGCTAGAGTGTGATTTGAAATCAGGGATTAAGATACAAAACAAATCAATTTTGGTCACTTTTCAAGTAGAGATCCTTGGTACCTGATATTTGCACGGAAGGACACTCCAATCGTTATAAGGTATTTTACTCGTGTGCTTCGATGTACAGTGTTTGTTCCGACATTTCAATTTTCATTCAGACGTCTGTGGTTCCTGCAATTCCACTAATACTAAGTGTTTGATGACGTCACTAATCGCAAAAGGCTTTATGTGATCTAGCATGTTTTGCGATTAGTGACGTCACCAAACACTTATTTTTTGGGAATTGCAGGAACCACAGACGTCTGAATGAAAATAGAAATGGTGCCAATTTAAAATCCCTTTAAGAAGAAAAAGTATATCATTTAGCTGCATGAGACAATTTTTTTTAAAAATCAAATCTTGCCGATGTCCAGTTATCGGGTTATGTATGTATTGTGTATGTTTATCTAAGTGTATTTGTTTAATAGATATTTATTATGAAGTTACCAAGTCACCTTATATTGACATTTGACCATTGACTTAATCCGATTCCCACTATAATTCAATAGTCCAATAAGTGATTGCCTCTTTCCAGATATTTGTGAATGAAGTGAAATATTATAGCATTAACGCCTATAAAGTTTCGCAATGTGCAATGAGGGAAATATGAGATATCAGATAAGAACTGGTATGTGGTACAATTGTATATTCAGTTAATTCTTGACGGATTGTAAAAAGTGATACAGCGTTATTACATGCGATATAGACAGAAAGCTATACAGGAGATACGTTTCGGACAGCGACTTTTAAAGGCGATAGCCCTAGTCACTCTGATGTACATGTATAATACTTTTATGGTTGCATTTTATCATGCTCATATAAATGAAAGAGTTATGTTCCCAATTAACGTACTAGAATAATTCAACTTAAAAAACGTCAGGAATATACATGTAAGTTCTCAATAATGCACTCAATGTATGAAAGAATCTTATCAAAAAGTTCTTAATTGGCTTAGAAGTCACGAAAAGAGAGAGAATATCGGATTATTACTTGTATTTACCTATCAACAATCGATATTATTCTTCATCATGTGACCGGACCATAATATAGTTCACAGTATATTGCCTATAGTTATGAACTATTGTCTTATTGTAAGACTTTCGTTACAAGACAATACTTTATCTTTAAAATCATTCTCGACATACACTGTTCTAACTCCCAATGACGATCGAGACAAGTCCGAGAACTGATTTTGATTTGTGAGAATGAATTATTTGTAAAGTTTATAGCCGATGAAGGCATACCTGTCGGCTAGATCAAACAAAGCTAGGCAGGTGCCCGATCGATTAAAGGTATAACCAAACTTTCTCTCTCTCTCGCTCATTGAACAACTATCTGCTAACACCTTAAACTTGAAAAATAATTTCAACTAAACGTTCTATGTAAGTGATAAACGCCTAGCCGTGACGTCATATTGTTGAATATTCATACGATAAGAGTAGTTGTAATTGAGAAAGGTATATCAAGGCTTAGTGTTTCTACGATAAAAGTTAGAAAAGTGTCACGAACCACATAAGACTTGGATATCGATAAGTGAGGACGTCTAGTAGACGACGGCAAAGGTATGGAGTATTGAAACTGGATGACAAAAGGATTGGAATGAGTACTGATAGATTCATTGCTGCCGCCCAGGACGGCTATTTAGATCTCTTACAATCGGCAACTAAAAGGGATCTGAATGCTGTGGACGAGGATGGAAGATCTGCCACACTTTGGGCAGCACATAACGGAAATTTGGAAGCGTTGCGATTGATCGTTGGACGAGGGTGAGTACAATGTACATATTGTAGTTTTTTTCTTCTGTTTAAACTAAAGAGTTGAGTTTATTTAGTCTGTATTTATCCAGGGTTAACACGTATTTTAAGACAATAATCCATTGATATTATTACATGAAATAGTGGGGATTAATCTCTGCTTGTACCTTCTAGAAAACAGTCCAAGTTGGGTTGGGTCGCATAGAGCAATTTCATTCTCTATTTCCTTATATTCACTAGTATCTGTGGGAGAGAAATCAACTCGATCACATCCTGTATTTCATATAATGTCATTTAGTTATTAAAATGAAAATCGATTGGCTACATTCAAACCATATTATAGATATAGTTCAATGCTTTATTCAAACCATATTTTATTTGACAATGGTAACAGTTTGTGTGGAGTGAAATGAATAATTTTAAGTTATATTTTGACAATATTTTGAATGTATATTGTAATATTGATGGTATCAATATGATTTTGGTATAAAGTGATACATGGATTCAGCTATTTTTTTCATGATCACGAGGTCATACTTTTAACTGTTTATTATTAACTTTCAATTCAAGCTCCACTTAAACTAATTACTGTGGTGGGCGTTGCTTTTAGTGATAAAGGCTATGTTCGCCTTATGCGGTTGAGTTTGTGCATGTATACACAGTTCTTTGAATTTGACAGATATTACATTTTGCAAGTCATTTTTCTTCACATAAAATGTGCTGTGCACACACCGCAAACACTTGAAAATAACCAGGAAGATGAATATAAAGTAGACAGTAAAATATAGATAATATTATCATAAATTGTATATTAATTTATATACAGCTAATATATTTACCTGGATTAACACGGAAGCGCCATTTTTTGAACCAATCTTACCTAAGTGTCAGAAACGGGAATTTTGTAAGCTAAGTCAATCAGTAATGGTGATTCACAGTTGTAAATCCGTGTGTGTCCAGAATTATCCGCGTTTGAAAGTTACAAAGACAAGTCGTCTTTTCTTGAGACACTGCCATAGAAAAGACATCTTTAGAAATAGGAAAAGAAATTCCTAGCCTGAGATATTTTTGAAGTAATTACGCTATTTTCGTACATTTCTAGAACTTTTGAAGACTAATTAATTCAAGACTCATATCAATCACCCAGAATGGTGCATCTATCCCTTTAAACTTTTATGACATTCAGCATTAAATACATAGGTACAACTATTGGAATTCGGATATATAGAACTTGATTAGTCAGAGGGAGATCACCCATGATCGTGTCTAGAATACGGGTTTTGTTATTAATATGACAAATGGGGCGTCGTTTGGATACCATGCAGTGCGCAATGGGGACTGGTGCATTTGTTTACTCTTTTGCTATTTCCAACTGTCGATATATCTATCGAACACGTCATATAGCACACCGACCCTTGGTTTATGTCTCCCGACCTGCTTCACAGACGGGAAACTGTGTTGAAAAATCAAAAATTATCCCGAATCCAAAGTAAAGCGGGCTATTGAAAGACATAGAATTTCAGTGGGCCTTATAAAACAATATAAACCAGTTATTTAAGTATCCTATTAAATGCCGAAGTTCATTCTTCATTCTTCTGTTACGGTTTATTGATCACAGAAAGCAAAAAAAAAGGCAAATAAAAGAATGGAAAATCGACAAATCATGAATTAAAAATACCTCAAATAAATAGTTAAATTCGGATTCGAGCATTATGGACATCTTATAATTCTTTCCTTCTTGATGGTCAAGATAGCCAAATAAGGAAATAGCTGCCACAAGTTTCCTTGAAATTAATCTTCCATACTTATACTTTACTCTTTTATTATCAAGACGTTAAAATCTAGATAAGATAACATTCCAAAAAGAAGATATGAAAATGACAGCCGTATGTGATAGATTATGTAGATAAAGGCAATAATCGAAAAAGCACAATATAACTGAAAAATGTCTTGTGTCATTAATGTCACATAGAGAAGCAATAAAATAATATGTCTTGATGTGATAACCGATAGAACTGAAATGAATGGAGTTTTGTGTCCTACTTTTCTACACCATATTGCTAATGAACACAGACAACGCCATACAGGGTGCAATGAGAGATATTTTGCCTGGACAACGGCATTAGCCTGCTGTTTTTTGGCTTCCAAGTGTCGAAGGATCTTTAATGCGCACACGGGGCCTAGGTTTATTGTCCCTTCTGACCAACCAGACGCTTTTTCCATGTCTTACCTATACGTCACTGACAGGGGGAAACTGGGTTAAAAATCCGAAGATATTATCTCGACTGATGTGAACGTCAGCTGGAATGACATGACCACGAACCATCAAAGTAATATTACGTCAAATAGTCTGAAAAGCACAGATATGTGGAAGGTATTAATAGAGTACAAATTCGGGTCAATCACGAATAACAATAGCAATGAGTTTAAACCCATCAAAAATTAAAATATATAGACTTTAATATTGATTTCTAAACCATGCGAAACGAACAGACTTGTTCTACCTAATTATTATAGTGTTTAATCTGCCACGAAATGCCATTAACATTTCCAATTTGAAATACAGATTTGCCGACACAGTCAGCATGACATTCAAATCACTCTATGCGCCTATTTATCAGAGCCCGTAGAGCTGCACCTAATGAATTGTTACTGCAACAATTCTCAGACTAAACTGAATAATCAGCTGCTGTTCTCTTATATGCTTTACCTTCATAATCGCTTTAACTAAAAACATTTGGTAAAATTAGATTTACTCTCCCGCTCAAACCAACCCTGTAAATCAGAAGTTCAACTTTCATCCTAAATAGTGGTACAGTAAGAAGAAATAAAACTTAAAGTGACACTACGTCTTAGAATGAACATAAAATTTAAGTTCTCGAAATGGTCAATATGAGTATATATTCATCAGTGAACTTACCTGGTGTCATAAAGTTACAACAGAATCCGGGTAAAATCTAGAAAATTGTAAAATAAAACTAAGTAATTATTGAAAAACGCTTAATCATAATATTAAGCGTTTTCAATAGTTAATCGCATATTGATAGATAATTACTAAGTTTTTTGGATTTATCGGATTATAAAAGGATCCTGTTATGTTATTTATGACACCAATTTTATGTTCATTCTAAGACGTAGTATTCGTTTAATATTTAGTCTTTAAAACTAAAATTTTCCTTTTTTCATATTTTGCATGGTTGTGTTGTTCAGTTAGTTTTAGTAAGATTTTGAGATAGCGTTCTTCTGTATCCAATACATGCTAGGAATCTTCGCTTTATTAAGATATTTGTTTAAACAAATTAATAGTAAATATATCTAAAGAAGAGTACTTTATTATTTATAATACTAGAAATAGGAAAGTCAGACATCGAAGAAAAGTGGAGATTTAACAAGACCCCTAACTACACCTATATTTCTATATTTTTTCAGCGGAAAGAAGATTAAATAAGCTACGCTGAAACTGTAAAGGGTATAACTTAAAGAGAATAATTAATGATGCATAGCTTTCTACGTTAGACCTACCCCTCCCCCCTTTCAACTGAAAAACTTGACCAGATATGGCGTGGATATTGCAAGTACATAATGTCTTGAGTAAGCGTAGCTTGGTTAATTTTCCAATTCGAACTCAACGTATCAAAGACGTCAAACGAGAAACAGAAGGGTACAAATTGCTATACAGTTTAAGATGTCAATGTTAAATATTTTGTATTAGGACCTACTCATTTAACTTGAATTTTAAGAATTTCAAGATAAAACATAATGCTTTGATGTCTATACCAGTATTTATATTGTCAAGTTTATGTCGTAAGCCCTATTTAAAAGAGTAACCCTAGTCTATCTATTTTCTTGTTGATAGGCAGATCTTCTCTGTAATTTTTTTTTATGTAAGATTAGTATTGAGCGAGGAACGTGATCTGAATTGCGCAATGTTTATCTACATATTTTCTACGTTAGACAGTTATCTAGAGACAAACCATGTGATTAAAGACATATGCTTTGCTTAGCATAATATAAAATCTTATGCTCTAAATGTCTGTTATTGGGTTAATGATTTCCAATACCATGCAGTGAGGGAAGACAATAAATGAAATGAATGGAGTTTTACGTCCTACTTTTCAGCAGCTTTAAACAAATTTAATTAGAAGTTTGAATTGAATTGAATTGATAGGTTTGAAAGAATGATTGAAATAAAATAAACAGCCAATTTTCAATGGAAATGGAGTATCCCATCATTGGCAACAGAGTAACAATGTTTCGTTTAGATGCAGACCCAACAATTTGTACCTTTATGCACTTCAGGTACCAACCAAATCCCTTACCTCATCGCCTAAATAATCAATTTCTGTTCAATCTATTCCTAACTCTTTGTAGTGTTATATATGAAAGAATTGCCTATAGCCTAAATTAGACTCTAATTGGCGATTTCCAGTGACATGGAGGACGACTACTATAACTTAACAGTGGACCTTAAACTGATATAGAATAAAAACTTGATCAGTATGAAGAATATTTGACCGTTTGTTGTGTCAAAGTTTGTGTTTATTTAGACACTAGTCTGGATTAAGAGGCATTGACCCATCTTGTCTTGTAGTATTTGACTAGTGTGAAAGTACGGACACGATTTGACCATCTTCACAAAACACTGGTCGATAATTAAAATTTATTGTTGCTTAAACAAGGCTAAACTATTCAACATGTCGAAGATCAAATCATTTGAATAACATTTTCAGCAATCGATGATATGACGAAATTCTTCTCTTAATCAATAGATTTAAACAATGTCATAATTTATGCTCACGAATTAAAAAGAAGGCCCGTAGCTAGAGGGGTCCCAAACCCCCCCCCCCCCCCCCCCCTCCCTTAAAATTTGTTGAGTCGCTACAGTTGAGCCCCCTGTAAAAAAAATACCTCCCTCCTCCCCTGAGACCCCGGGTTAGCTACGGGCCTGTTAATAGGTTATAAGTGAACAGTCAATATAAGGTAATGAATGTACCAGAATCTTCACATGTGGA